CGCGCTGGACACTTCTCTGGACCGGCGAGCGGCCGGTGCTTATCAGCGGGCACACTGCGTAGCACTGCGTAGCGTGCAGGCCGGTCGCCTCGTCTCACTCGCACTCGCGGGGCGTCCGAGGGGTGCGAGAGAGACAGGGCGACGACAGCGCCGAGTTCGGAACGGCCCATCGATAACGGGCGTACCTCTCTCTCCGCACGGCTCGACGATGGCCCGACCGCGCCGCCGTCCTCGACGCCCTCGCCGCGGCCAGAAGCGAGACTTACACGTCATTTTGGGGACGTTTGAAACAGTGCAGCGACAGCCGACACGTTACTACCATAAAAGGCAGAGTGTTTAAAAATTAAACGCGAAGGCGAGCGCGCTTCGCCCGGCTTCGCCCATTTCGACGTCCACTTAAAAGTGCATACGATAATAAATGAGTCTGTAAAGCCCAGGCAGGCACTCCCAAAAAAAGGGAGAGGGGAAGGGTAGGCTCCCCATGTCGTGTCAATAGCGGTGAACGACCGCCACCCGCCCCGCCCCGCCCCGCCCCTCGGTCCGGGTGAGAAGTGGTGATAAGCCGACCGAAGCAAAGCGAAGCCAGCCTGGGCCCCTGGCATGCCCCTGGGGCCCGCCCCGCCCCGCCCTGTCGCTCCCACGACCAGCCACAACCGAAATAGTAATAAAGAAACCAGAAACCCCGTGGAACCGCGGCGAGCCAGTCTGTCTGCGACGTCTGCGACGCCGGCCGACCGGCCGTCCCCTCCTTCAACTTATTGTGGTGCTGGAGGCAGGGAGGAAGCCAGACTCGCACCTGTCCGCGCTCAACAACCACCTGGACCCGGTCCTGGGCCCGGTGCGTTGTGGACCCTGGACTGTCCTGGACCTCAGCAAGACCAAGGGCTCCGCTACAGTCACAGTGGACCACAGCAGGCGACGCATCTAAGCGACCCGCCCCGGTATGCAGTGCGAGAGAGACGGAGCGAAGACAGCTAGGCCAGGTGGAGGGCCCTATGATGCCCATTAGGGTCTCATTAGAACCTCGGCGTGATTGGGATTGGGACGCGATGCCTTCGGCGGCCCCTTGGGCGGCCCCGGCCCACGGCCCCGTCTGGGTCAAGGAGGATTCCGACGGATTCCGCACTGCGTCTCGTCTCGTCCGACTCGCACTTGAGCGGGGTCAGTCTGCAGTCCCAACAGGACCAGCCAAGGGTCTCAGCGGACCCGGACCGGAATCCCACACGGGCCCAACCAGAACCAGCCACAGCCAAGCGCGGCAGAACGGGCAGAACAATAGCGGTGCGGAGTGCGTAGCGCGTAGCCGCGGCGTAGCACTGCACCCGTTGCCCTGCTCGCACCGTGCCCGCCCTGCATGAGAACGAAAAGCAGCGAGACTCGTTCCGTCGCGGGCCGCTAAGGCCGCTAAGGCACCTCGAGGGCCTACACAGACTGATTCCGAGAGTCCTTCTCGTCGCTCTGTCTCTCTCGCACTCATGGGGCGTCCTTGATGGGTGCGAGAGAGAGAGACAGCGACGAAAACGACTCTCGGAATCAGTCTGCTGGCGCGCTGGCGCTTTGCTTCCTCCAGCGAGTCGCGGCAAAACGCCGCCGCCGCGTTGAGCTGAGCCCCGAGCCGAGGCCGTGCCTCCGTGCCGCGGTGAGGCAGGGCAGGGCGGGCAGGCCCCGCCGGAGTGGCTGGAGTGGCGCGGCGAGCGGCGAGGCAAGGCGGCCTGGAGAAATCTCTCCCCGTTCCCGTTGCTGCTTGCTGCCGCTGCTTTCCGCGCACCGCCCGAACCGCCGGCTCTGGACGTCTGGAGTCGACTGGAGTCCACGGCGGCGCCGCGGATGACGTAGGCATCGGCCGGGCCGAGCACCCCGTCGGCCCGCACGCCGGTACGGCCGGCACCCACACCAGCGTCGTCGTCCACGTCGTCGACATTGACGGCTGGTTATTTTTTCCCCGTCGTAGCCTTGGTCTTACACTTGCGTGGCGTGGCGGGGCCGGGACGGGGCGGGGCGGAGAGCGCCACGCCGCGCCACGCCCCAGAGCCCTTCGGGACTTCGGGGGGCACACCGCACACCGCGTCTGGCAGCTGTTGCTCGCGCTCGCCGCTCCGCGCCCTGCAGCCCGCGGCCCCCTCCGCGCGCTCCGCGGCCACCGCGATGACAGGCCAGGATGCTCACCAGGGTGCCGCCCTCGCAGGACGGCGACGAAGCGGTCCCAGCGCCCCGGCAGTGCGCTGGCGGGGCTGGCAGGGTTTGCGGGTAAATCCAAAGAAGTGCAGCGGGATCTTGATTGACGTCAGCCTGCTGCGCTGCTTCGCTGGTGCGCTCGGCTTTCACCTGTGACACTCCACTCGCGTCACTCGCTCACTTCACTTCACTTCACTGCACTTTGTCTCGCCCGGCACTGCGGCACTGTAGAGCTTGAATCACTTGTTGGCGTCGGCCAGGAACGACATCCACGTCCTGCCCTGGCTCGACACTGGCACCTAGTTGCACCACCGCCACGGGCTCTCGGCCTTCGGCGACACGAAGCACAAGGTAATCCTGGATGGTTGCAAAAGCAGCTCGCCGATCGAGGCTCGTGGCGGCCGCGAGGCGAAGAGGAGGCGCGGCAGAGCGACCGCAGCGGGGGCTTCCGAGCTTTCGCGTGTCGTATTTTCAAGTCGCGGCTTCGGCTTCGCGGTCGCGGACTAGATCGCGCTGCCGCGGAGCGCAGCGTTCACGCTCGCGCGTCCGGTCTCGGCGGGGACCTTAAGCTGACTGACTGCTGGCTGCCTGCCTGGCCGCCTCGAGCCTACACAGTGCTACACAGCATCAGGCAGCCCTGCCAGCCTTCAGGCGGCCAGCCAGCAGCCAGCCGGCGAGCCCCCGCTCAGCCAGCCGCCAGCCGCTGTGTGGAGTAGTGGGGGCAGAACCCCACCCCGCGGCACCGCGCACCGCGGCCCGTTCCGCCACCCCTCGCCTCGCCCCTCCCTCCCCCGCGCCGTGGCGCTGCTCTGTTGCTGCAGCGGCAGCGGAGCCTTCAGCTCAGACTCCGTCAGGTAGGTAAGGTACTGTAAGGTGCCCGTCCCGTCGCCGCCCAGTCCTACCCAGTCCCACCTCCAGACTCCAGGGAATGCAACAAGGCTTCCGCGTCGGAGGAATTAGAGCCCCAGCCATTCGGTTTCTCAATTTCGGCCGTTCCAGGATGACATGCCTGTATAGTGTGCCTCCACTCAGATTTTTGGGGAATGCGAGGTAATGAAAAAGAATTCATTGAGTTTTCTGCTTGCCATTTATTACATTTTGTTGCTAGTATCAGGTCATAGGACTGACAAATACGCATCCTTGGTGAAATCACAGAGGTCTGCTGAAATTTAATATGGTATGACATGTAACCTGAGGACTTGAATATAGTACTTATTCTCTAGAACAAACACAATTACGACAACAAGGTACAGTTGAATTTGTCATCTAAAATAGATTCAAGAAGAAGAGAAATTTTTGTAAATTAATATGCATGACAAATGCACAGTAATGCCACTAAACATCTACACAACTAAGTCTGTCAAGGTTTCAACATCTACATGGAAAAGAACACTTGACTTACACAATTAATTTAAAATGTTTTAAGTAAGGCAACTTAAGTGCCAAACAAAGTCTAGTGCACCTTTTTGTCGCATTTGTCAAAATTTGATACTATTGCATTATAACTTCCTTATTGCCTTTTCCCTCTCTGTACTTTATCATACTGACTTAGCATCTTTCTGCTTGTAAGCAGATGCAGCAAGTAGACTAATTATCTTAATTAAGAAAGAGGCTGACCTTTTACCTCTAATGTAAACAGTTCATAAGTTGTATTTTTTTTTTTTGTTCTTTTTTCTTTTGAATATTTCTTTACAATTGAAGTATTTTTTTTTTTTTAATAATTTTGAGTCACCCAAACAGACTGCATGTGAAGCTAATAGCTTTGCAGCAGAAGTGATAGCCCAGAATGCAATGACATGAGAGGGATTACAAGTTATATAAAATTTACGCCATCAACATGGCAAATTTTTCACCCATTTACTTACAAGATGACATAATTTCAATCACAGCAACATTTTTTAATTATTTTTTTTTTACATTTTCATATCCTAGAAACTCTTAAGAAAAGGATAATCCTAAGGAAAGAGAAAATTAGAAATGGCCCATCTCTGCGATAGCTGCTGCGGCGGCAGCTGTTTCTATCTCATCCACAGAACGAGGACCCACCACCTTAGGGGACGAATTCTTTGAAGTTTTACTTTTAGATATCTTTGAAGAAACTGCTTTACCCACAGAGGAAACCTTAGTAGCAACCTTCTGGTTTGAGGGATTAGCAAGGGCAGTTTTTTTAACAGATGGTGTGTGGACAGTTTCTTCCAGGGGAGACCCTGGAAGCACTAAGGACACAATGGGAATCTTTTTAGGGGACAGCAAGAGCGAAGATTTTGCAGAGACAGAATTTTTAGGAACAATCTTTGTCTCAGGGGGAACCTTGGCAGAAATTTTCTTATTGATGGAAGATGCTTTGGATAAAGCTTTCCCATGAGTAGGAGTGGCCTTCCCAGCTAAGCTAGCTGCGAGGGCCAATTTTCCACCTGCAACAGGCTTTGATGTGGCTTTGACATTCTCTGTAGTACTTTTTCCAGGAGTGGCTTTTGCAACAGTGGAAGATTTAGGGCTGTTCTTCCCATGTGCAGATGGCTTAGTACTGGCTTTCCCTTGGGATGGTGCAGCACGTAAGTCTTTTTCTAGAAGTGAGAGCACTAGAGAAGATTTGCCATGGTTGGAAGTCACAGGAGAAGCCTTGCCCTCGCCCGATGCTCCAGTTTCCACAGAGGTGGGAGACTCGAGACTGGACCCATTGGGAGAAACAGCTCCAGGAGGAGTGGTTGAAGGGGACGAAGTTTTGGAATCTTCGACTTCTGAGGTGGCTGTTTCAGAGGATGGTGGTGGTGAAGAGTCCTTCTTCTTTTTCTTCTTTTTAGAGGGCCGATTTCCTTTCTCTCCCGTAGGGCTATCCCTACGGGAGGCCTTATGCTAGTTTTTTCTTCTTCTTTTCATAGATGATGAGCACTGTGGACAGTACCATTTTCCCTTGGGCGGTGCAGTGATATTGACACAAGCGTAGTGGAACCATTCAAATGGACACTGCAAGAAATAACAAAAAATAAAGGGTAAAAATCTAGACAAACAAATCACACATCAACTTTTTTTTAGAAAATCCTTACATCTTCATTGTCGCAAGCCACCATATCACCATACGAGACTTGATTACAAAGACAATATCGTGGTTCATTTGGATCGTAAGTCCAGTCTGGGTTGTCTCCATCGCCAAGTCCGTCGCCATTGGGGTCCATCAGTCCATCATCTCCTGCATCCCCAGCTAAGGGAAGCAGGTCATTGGACAGACTGGCTGAGGAAGACCCCTGCTGACTTGATAATGATGATCCCAAGCCTGAGGAGCTTGATGACAGTGCATGAGAGTTAGAAGCATTGGATTTCCTGGAACAAAAATTGGGGAAGTTACTACCAGAAGTTTATATGCTTAGCAGATCAAGAATGGTCTCAACTCACTTTTTCTTCTTAGGGATGTCATGTATTGCAGCCAGAGCAGTCTGGGCAGCTCCAGCAATTTCACGACCAATTGCAAAATCATGGGAATGCGACCCCCCAATGGCCTCATATGATGCTTTGAGACTTGCTGTGCGACGACCTTGCTGCATCTACAAATGAAAAGGCAAATGATGATGATTGTGTTGATCAAAATGTCAAAGTTAACACCTAAGCTATGGTTAGGAAAAGTATTTAAAAATTGACATGACAAAAAAAAATTAAACTGACAGTTTTTTTTTGTTAAAATTTGAAAACTTTGTGGTAAATGTAACATGTATTATTTATGAACATTTTCTCTTGATGTCAAGAATTTTCAAGGTAAGCAAATAATTTTGATGATGTAAAGAAAGAATGTAAATTTTCATGCGAGAATAAATAAAGCATTTCATGAAGCTACTAACAACATTAAGCTTTCTACACCTATTTTGAAAGCAAGCTCATCTATGATTGGGATTAAAAGCTGTTTTGATAGCATCTGGGGTTTGAAAGAGAAGCGGTTGATTAAAATACCCAAGCTGGCAAAGTACCAAAATTACATGTTTCAGAGAAGTTGGAGTGAAGAAAACAGAAGTGATCAATAATGAACCGAAAATAAACTAACACATTTTCAGGCAAGCACACAAACTCACAAAGCTGCACACACGTAACAGGCTATAAAAAGAAAAGCCTACAATAGTTTGTGTAAAAGCTACAGACCATACATGCGCTGCATATTTACCTCCTTGGTATCTCCTTGGGCACTCCTCTCAATCTGCCATACCAAAATAAATTTTATGTATTCAGAAAAATTACCTTTTTTTAAAAAGAATTTTTGGGCTTTATCTTTTAAACAATGTAGGGGATTGAAGTAATAATAGAGCAAAAAGAGAAAGAAAGAACCCACACACACACACCCACACTCAAAAAAAAAAAAAAAAAAAAAAAAAACAACACACACATTCACACTCTTCCTTAAATAACCGCTCATTAACCTTCTTCCACCAGAAAAGCAGTTACGATACAGAAGTGGAAAAATTCTGATCTGCATAAATGCTACATGAAAGAGGCCACAAAGTCATACCTTCACCCAACACAAGCCTCTACCGTGCAATTTTAAAATTGAAAGATTATTTATGAACAGTCATTGAGTGCCAAAGGCAACATTTGCGAAGTTGTTTTTTTTTACCAAGGTTTGTCCTTTCTTATAACAAGCAGGACAGAAATTGTGTTCTCCACACGCTACCTTTGGCTCAACACACCAAAAAAATATAAAAAATCTGTTTAGCTTCTTATTTTAAAAATAGGTGGGCTTTCCAGAGCACACGCTGCCACCCAAAAGAATAATTGAAAACCAATCAGCCGACATGACAACCTTGACAAGCCAGCCAGCCATCAAACCAAACCAATGCATTGACAGACAGAGACAGACATACGAAAGGCGCAGCATCAGCGCGCAGCCGCAGCGTTAGTGGGGTGCTCTCCCTCTCTCTCCCTCTCACCTGCTGCGTGGCGGCGATGGCCTGGGACGCGGCGGCCGCGATGGCGGTTCCGCCGGCACCCATGTGTCCGAGGCCGTAGGGGACGCCGTGGGCGTCCTGGAGGCGGTCCTGGAGGCGGTCCTGGTGCCGGTCCTGGTGCCGGTCGGGCAGACGGTCCTGGTGCCGGTCCTGGTGCCGCGACCCAGAGCTGGTGGAGGTGGCCGGCGAGGCGCCGCCGTGGCCGAGGCCGTGCTGCTGCGCCGCCATGGCCGCGGCCCTCGCGCTGGTCACGTCGCGCTCCAGGACGCCGTGGCCGAGGCCGTGCAGCTGCTGCGCGTGCTGGTGGCTCTGAGCAAAGTGGCCGCCGCCGCCGCGTTCTCGGTCGCGGTCCCTGCTGGGGTCTCGCGACCGGTCGCGGTCCTTGTGGGCCATGCCGGCGCTCAGGCCGTACGTGTGGCCGCCCTGCGCCTGGGCCTGCATCGTGGCCTGCGACTCGCGGTACGCGCTGTGGTCCCTCTCGCGGTGCGCGACCTGGGCGTGGCCCTGGCCGTGGCCGTGGTCGCGGTGGACGAGGTGGCCATGGTCGCGGTGCACGCTGTGGTCTCGGTGGTGACCGTCGCGGCCCTCGCGACTCTCTCGGTGCGCGTGCCCGTCTCGGTGGCTGGCATGGCCGGCGTGGCCGTCGCGATGCCCGGCGTGGCCCTCGCGATGCCCGGCGTCGCGGTGGCCGCCGTGACTGTCCCGGTGGACGCCGAGGCCGTCGCGGTGCCCGGCGTGGCCGTCTCGGTGCGCGTGGTGAGCGTGGCTGTCACGGTGGGCGTGGTTGGAGTGGCTCTCGCGGTGGCCTTGGCCGTGATGGTCCCGGTGGCCGTGCTGGAGCGAGCTGTGACTAGAACTCCTGCTGTCCGACGACCCGCCAACCCCGACACTCCCCACAGCGCTGGAGTCGCGACGTTTTTCTGAAAAAGATAACGGCAGTGTAAGGTCAGGGTTGCCTCGCCTCAAAACTGTTGGCGTGTATTCGCGCAGCGCGCAGCACATACTCTGTTTCCCATGTGTGTTTGACGCTCTAGATCCAAAAGAATAGCGGTTTTCTTTCTCTCGACTGCTGGGTGGCGGAGCATCAAGCTCTAGAGATCCTGCCAGAACAGAAAAAAGTAAGAAAGATCAGTCACCAAAATAAACCAGGAAGCAAAATGCGTAAACAAAAAAAAAAAGAAAAATTAGTAACAAACTTTTTTCTAGAACTTCAGTAATTCCAGCATTGTCCGCTTCAAGCTCAATTTTAAATTTGAAGAGCTCAGCATCAAGACGTCTTAAATACCGATCAACCAGCTCATACATTTGGCTTGCTAATTGTACTTTTTCATCTGTAATAAAATAGGAGGTTGTCAGTTATTGTTATCCTGAAAATTTTCAGACAGTTGCTGAGTTGTAAGAAAAAAATTACCTGCATCCTCTAAAGTTTTGTAATATTCTTTACGAATACAATCATTTTCAGCATCTCTTTCGAGCTTTGGGAGCCTTTTAGCGTTGGCAAAAAAGCCTTTCACCTTCTTTTCCAGTCCATCTATAGAATCTGTATGAGTGGACAGAAATGATTAAAAACACCTGGATTTATTGATAAAAGACCAAATGAATGTTCATTGCCTCAACTTACTTTGAACACCTAAATCCATTTCACGCATGTCTGTGAAACGATCTCGTAACTCCTGTGGGAGATGCTCTATCACTGAAATAAAATAACATAATTGTATGTTAGAGAATTATAAGATAGGTTATTAACAACATACCAGCACGCAAAAATTAGTGAAACCAATAAAAAACAGAAACAAAAATGGAGTTTCATAGAAGAAGCTGTGCAAATGTTGTGGTAAAAATAATTTTTAAAAAAAAGTCAAACACAAAAAAAAAGTTTTGAAAAATAATGTTGATGATACTATGTGTATTCCAAGGAAAAAAAATACCGCATTGACAATAATTTTTACAATCAGGCACAATGTTTAGTTAAAATGAGTATCAAAACATTTTTTTGCCTTATAAACATCAACTTAACCTCACTACTATCCATTAAAACCAACTTACTCTCAAGATAGTCTTCTAGGTACAACATATTGAGGAAGGATCTACTTAAAAACTCAGTGAAATATATTACAAAATTTGCAAATTTCTAAAATTCTACACCATAATGGCACAAAACATCAATGAAGATATGTAAGCACTGTTTTTGTAGCCTAAACCCCCTGAAAAGTGGGCAAATTGCACGACACAGTGTATGAGAATTTCAGAGTGTAAGTTTCAGAACCATTTGCATCTTTACTACATCGCGGTACATCCGCTGAATCATTAGATTCGGTATGCCGATGAAACACCTCATTCTCACCGAAAACTAGAAAAATCTAATTTATCTTGAAAACACGAAGTAGTCCCTTAAAGGTCGCTATCATCGCCTGTTATCGTGCATCAGCTCGGAGAATTTCTCATCTCTTAACGTTGGCTCCAGCGGCAGCTTCCCACCGAATGACGTCAGTGGACGTCGATCCAGCTGTTGCGTGGGCGCTCCGACTCCGACAGGACAGGACGACCTCCCTTCCCTGCAGGATTCGGGAACAACCATCATGACGACGACCGTGGACAGCATCCTCAACTTTGACCCCAAATCGGAGGACAACTTCTACACGATCCTGGGCTGCCATGAGGATTCCACGGTGGGTTGCTTTGGCCGTGGATGTGGCAACCTATCTCTAGTCAGTGCTGGAGAATTCCCCAAGGCCATGGGTGCTGTCATTCATTGATTCATTCTGGTGTCCTGTTCATTCAGCCGGAGCAGATCAATGTAGAGTACAAGGTGCGGGCTCTACTCTACCACCCAGACAAAAACGCTGGCAACAAAGAAGCAGAAGCCAAGTTTCAGCAGCTCCAGGTTTCTACCACTTCATTTAATCAGATGCCTGCAATACTTTGCATTTTCTGATAGCTCGGTGTTGTTGCTTTAGATGGCAAAGGAGACTCTTCTAGACCCAGAAAAGCGGAGCAACTACGACAAATGGCGCAATTGCGGAATGGCAGTAAGTTACCAGCAGTGGCTTGGAGTCAAGGAGCATGTTCATCAGGTAAAATAAATTTCTTTGAAAGACCTCTTAATCAAAAGTAGTTTTAAACCAAGCAACAATTTAAAATTTTAATTTTTCCAGTCCATGCATTGGTCAACGTTGAAAACAAAGGACAGGATGCTGCCTGGGAATTCCTCTGGAGCGTCAGGCACCAAGGCAGCCGATCAGGCAGCCCACCAGGCAGCACGCAGGGCCTCTGAAGGAGGCGCCAACATCCAATGGGGACCCAAAGGTTCCTTGCAGTGGAACTCAAAGCCCCCAAATGATGTTGTCAGCAAGTTCCGTAATTATGAGATTTAAAAACAACGAGGAGAGTTCAAATAGCACCTGCAATGAGCTTTACCCCTCCCTCTTTCCATTGCTGAGCTGCGAGTGACATTCAAAGCATTGAACCAAGTTGATTCCATTTTCTTCTTCATGTATAAGCTAGAGGTTTGTTGCCCGTTTGAAAAGCAATTTGTGTTTTCCTGTTTCAACATCTTTCTCCTTATTTCAGATTAATATTTTGAAAACCTGTGATAACTGTGTGCCCCTTTCATGGTTAATAGTTCAAAGTTTATTTTGGGTGGCCACTTTGTTAATATCATCAATGATCTGCAGTACTGTGATATTGGGAGCATTTTCTCTTTTTATGATTTATTTTACTGCTCATTTGCCCATTTAGGTGAATATTCCTGAAGTTATAAGTGTATGACGCTAGTTGTAAGTGACCTTTCCTGAAGTACCTGGTATTTTAATTTCTTGGTGTTAGCAAATATCATGAATGCTATTTTAATTGAATTAGACTGTGCAAGCTAACCCTGCTTAAGTTGTGAAATGTGTGACAAGAAAAGAAATAAATGTGTTAAGTGTTAAATCTACTTTCTGAGACCATAAGAGTCATGACATTGGTCAGTTAGCAGCGAACACATTCTAACTCTAATAATCGCGGAAGTAGCAGCACACGTGAAAGTGCTCAAAACAAACCATTGTAACTTCAGATTATCGCCACCCTTTATTTCCATTCAAAATATAAACTAGGACACGCATAATGAGCAAAGTATGAAATCACATTAACATTGGAAACATAAAATGAAAGTGCCCTAGTTTACCTGTACTACCCAAACTCTTGGGGAATACCCAGATTACAATTTACCAGTACTTCAATACGAATTGTGGTACTTTGTATATAAATATTGCTCATGACATGTACACTGACTGAAAAATTCAGATCAGACATTTAAACATTCTAGTGCCAAAACGCATCAAAATCAAGGCTAGCATCTCAAGTAGAAAAAATTGATAAAAGGCATGTGTCAATATTTCACATTACAGTTAATATTTGATGATGTATTGAGAGAATCTAATGAAGTAATTTTGTTATAATAACCATAGTTCAGAGTTAAAGGCACATTCAAAATAAGCTTTACACCTAGGCATCAGGCACTCAAAGAGAAAGACTAATAAGTATGGTCAAGACAATACATCACCCATACATCACTTATTGTGAGGGATTGACAGGATTCAGCACAATACATTTCACTTGTGTCTAGCATTTATTAGGTCACAGTCCTTGGTCAAGCCATTGTTTATTTGTACTTCCATAATTTTATATTTTTTTAAAAAGAAATCCGTTTCAAAATAATTCAGCTGCAAGGAGCTGATAACAATAATGGAGTTGCAGTTTAAGTCAGTAAGTTCTATTCACCCACCTTTGCCTTAGATTAGCTTATTTGTCAGTCCAGCACAATCTCATTGACAATGTTCCCAGACAAATCAAAGTATATTTACTTAGCTACCAGAACTAGCACAGTAGTAAAAAAGAAAAATTTAAAACAAAAGCTATCTAGGAATTAAAAACCCACATAAATATACGGCAACTCTGTCCTGGCAACATTTTCAATAATACTTCCAAAGTTGAAACAACTGGAAACAAATGTGAGATCTCTCATTAAATAAGCCGAGAGTTTAGCAAAATTTGAATTGGCAAGGACCTCCAACGACAGTCACAATGACTCCAAAGCCACCCCTGTTCTTATATGCTCACGATTAGAACAATGATGTCACCTATTTATCGAGAGCAGTGTTGGTTTTGATGGCAATCACACACTCTTCACCGCAGGACTTCAGGACTGTGCACTGTAACAGAAAAAAAAATAAGTTAGATGGTGAACCACCTCTAAAAAGCAAAGAATGGCAAGTGAAATACAGAGAAAGAACTTACCAGAAGTTCCTTGCCGGCATCGTATTCAGCTCTCAGCTGAGTACCCAAGTCACCATCGGGGATCTTCAAATCTTCTCTAAGGTCACCGCTGTCACCCATCAAGCAGAGGTACCCGTCATCAGAAATGTCTGTCAACTGAACACACAAACAATTAGCATAATCACCAAGAGACAATGAAAGCCCCATGAACAATTGACAACATAATAGTAACCTGATAATCTTCACGTTTGACGTGGGGAACATCCATGTTGTGGGTAGAGGGGCAAATATCTTCATACTTCTTGCCAGAGAAAATATCAATACCGACCATGTGAACTTTAGCGTGACCGTGCTTGCCTGTCTTGGAGGTCGACATTTCAACAATTTTGCATGGACGAGACTGGAAAATAAGGAAGAAATTAAAATCTGCGCATGAAAAAAAAAACCAGAGCAATGTAAAACATGAATGAAAAACATACCTTCAACATGACGAAACCGTTCTTCCGCAGGGCGGAACATTGCATCGGGAAGGTAGCTGAGGCACCAGAGTCGCCAGTCTCGAAATGAGTGTCTTCAATTTCTGCCATTTTTGGTTCTGTGGTTGTGCTTCGGTTCCTGAACTAGTCTGCAACAAGCCAACAAAATTTTACTTTAAAGAGAGATAACAATAAAAGGACGAACATAACCTCTAATAGAAAGAGAATGAGATGTTGATTTAAAAGTGAGAACAGCACAGACGCCAAGTGAAGGGACCAGACCGAAACAGGGTGAAGGAAAGCGGGCAGAGTGTCTCGTCCTACAAGAGGACGACCGGGACTACGTCCTACGCGATAGCACTGAACGAGCGTGGGCCATACACAACCTGGCAAAAAAAGGCTTAGACCACCGTGGCAGCAAACACGGCCCGCACTGCACCTTATCACAGTGTACCCGGCCGCTAAGCCAGGAAGGGCCTTAAACGGACAGCCCCCTAGATTGCAGACCACTTGAGCCGCAGAAAATAAATAAATACACGTACATGCCCTGTCACCCTTTACCAGCAAAGCACAGCGGAAAAGGGGCTACCCTAACCTTCCTCGGGGTGCGGCGGTGCGGCAACGTCCCCGCGGGCCGCAACAGACCCCCCATTGACCCAGGCAAACACATGGGACACTTTGGCAACGCACGGTGCCGAATTTCAACGGGCGGATTCGCCAATGTGAACATTTGCCCAACTTTCTTCCCGAATCGGTGCCACATGGCGGTGATGGTACAGTCTGCACCGCCCAGCCTCGGCACACTTGGCGCTTGGCGTTCTCGTCACTTGGAGAGCCGCGCCACCGGATTTGACAGAGAAGCACCGCACAGCAACAAATCCCTCCCCTCACCGAACACTATTCCAGCGCGGAATGCACTTGCGCCTCGGCTCAAACCACACACGGCTGGCGGGAAACAGGCTTTGCTTTCACTAGGCTGCGGTAGGGCCGCCTTACTTGCGTCAAATGCACCGGTTTACACCTATTGCTAGAGCCCGGTAGACATCCGACCGCCGCGGGGACTAAATTCGCGTAGCTTGTATCTTCACAGAGCAGAATATCACCTCCAATTCAGCAAAACACCGTAAAGTACCGATGAAATACGTGAACAAAAGACCACGGAGGTACTCACATGTGCCCGACGAGCGGATCTCTCGACTAGAAGGTCTTCAACAGCAGGGTGACCACGTTACACAGCAGCGTCTCGTCTCCGCTCCGCGTGGCGACCTCTAGGTGCGTTCGTGCGAAGCGAAAGCGAATGAATGAGGGGAACGTTTGGCTTCGTCGGGCAGGCGGTGGCGCGGTCACCTGTCCGTGGCGGCAAGTTCGAAAGGGGTCGCGGGCCGAACAAACAAGTTTTTCGTTGTTTTGTTTCGGGTTTGTGCAGGTGAACAACCAGATCTGTCAAACGTGGTTCGTGGTATGTGTTTGTACCTACGCATTACTCATTGTTAAATGGATTTCCGGGATTAAAAAAAAGGACACCAGTGTATGTAAACTTTCTTCCTTTTTTTGGTAAAAAAAAACAACAAAACAAGACAATCAAGTTTGCTTTGATGACACAAGGCCCCTCCTAGCTCCTAATCCACAGACACATTCATCACAAAACACAGAATTATTTAACAAAATAGTTTAGTGATCTGACAATTTCCTCGACTAGTTCATAAACTGCAATGCAACACACCAGTTGAAATTTAAGTCATAGCTCTGGTGCAATATTGTTCATCCAGCTATAGGTGGCATTTTTCAATTATATGAGGTATCATTAAACCAAATCAATTTGGAAGTTCCAGCCACAGTGTGTTGCTGACAAAACATAACAGTAGATATATACATTACTTCTTGTCAACTAAGTCCAAATAATCCTTGCCCAAAATCAGTAGTCCGATGCTTGTTGCAACTCCAGTCGCAGTGTGGACAACACAGTTATCAGGCAGATAATATCTTAAGATGGACCAGATTAGGATAGAGCTCAAACTCAACATACTGGCTCCGTATATGCTGCAAATAAATTGTGAACTTAAAACACGTGAAGATTTAACATTTAAGGTAAACCATAAGTGGATTTTCAACAGATAAATCTGTAACCTCTAGGCACTTACCAATAAGTAATCCTCATCTGATTAGAGAGTTTTTCAAGATGAGGGCGCTTATAAATGTAAAGTGCAGTGCCAGCGATAGATGTAAGAAGCAATCCGTTGGTAATGTCCCTTGTAGGAAAGAGCCTGAAATGAGATACGAAAATAACACAATAGACCAAATTGAGGATTTGTCATTGAAAAGTAAACACAGAATCTTCGTTCAGAAACTGCAGCAATCCATGGATGTTAGGTTAGAGGTCACTTGACAAGGGCTAACCTTCTCAACATATTCGGGTTGGACAGGCTGATAGACAGAGTTGTGTAGCTCGCCGCTCCAGCCATGGGGGCATAGTGGTACAACAGATTCTCCTGGGTCAGGGGCTTGATGGAGATGCCCCCGAGGAGGCCCTGGAGGCCCTTCGGTTTGCCTGGAGCTGCCATTTCACGAGACTTCACCACTTAGGCGTCAAAGTTTTTGATCAGATTTCGTCTGTTCCGGATGACACCTTAAAGACGACATCCGGTTTTCGGTCGTCACTTGTTTTTGATGCACAGTGCACCAACCTTTGAGAAACGGAACTGCACGATAGCGTCCGTAAATTGAGAACACCGCGGAGAGAAAGAAGTGTGCCTTAACTTTGAAATTGAAGAAAATTAATTTCGATCCCACGTCAAAGACAAAGATATGATCTGCTCACATATAAGGTAATTTTATGAACTGCAAATAGTGGCACTGTACATGTGCACTACATTCAGATTCACTTTCACCATTCTAGAGCAGTAAGCTAGAACGATAGAACGGCTGAATGACGGGTCTTACCTTATTTGTATGAATTTTAGCTCAAATACAGTGATTCACCAATGAATAAGTGGAACGTCGCCCGGTCTGTTGTTCAAAAGCCTAAGTGTTGAAAGCCTTTCCGGCTCAAGGGCTTTGGATTTGCGTACAACCTTGCTCAGTGACAGCAATCACCTAGGTTATTTGCCTCTTTCGTGGCACAAGTGACAGGCTTTACCATGGCACTCATGTTTCAAAGTGATGTTGTGCAGTATGTTTGCACCTGTGGCCAGCTCAAGCCCATTTCACTCATGTATTTCTGTAGACACTGTTTGAAGTTGAGATGTGGTTACTGCGTCTGTCATGAGGTGGGTGTCACTTCTGAAATCGACTTGTACTAAATGTTATCTATGTCATAGGTTTTTGGATTTATTTTTTTTCTAACATGTTTTTTTTCTTTCTTCAGGTTGACTCGCATTACTGTTCAAACTGCCTGGAGATACTCCCATCGGCTGAAGCCAGGTTGAAGAAACACAGGTGTCAAACATGCTTTGACTGCCCCAACTGTTTGAACACATTGGCAGTAAGAGCGACCACTGTATCTGTTCGAGACCCTGACGACCCAAACAAGGTTAATTCACTGAAAAAATACTATCATTCATGTTTCTTCTGTCGGTGGACCACAAGAGATGTAGGCTTGCCCGACCAAGCTGTCCAGACTGTTTGTAAGTTGTTTTATTATGTTATCTGGCCTCTATTTTGAAAATGTCATTCTTGTCCTTATTATCATATAAATTAATTTTTTCATTCAGCTGCCAACGGATGGTCACAGAAAGGAGAAAGCAACATTCAGCGCATTAATGTTTTGCTGGAGTATGTTCGATTGTTGGGAATGCAGGAAAGGCATGAACGGGAACAACGTGAAAAGAAATTCACTCCTAGGTCTAGACGTACTTTTACCCACCACCCAGTAGGTTTTATAATCCAAATGATTCTTCTTTGATTTTTAAAACTTGGTTTTGATAACACTCTTAATTATTTCTGTCATGTTTTCTCAAAGGGACTTACTGCTGCCCATGTCCGTAAACGAGCTGGACTGCCACCAGAACTACCAGCCCCTTCAACAATCAGAGACAACCTTGCGGAGTTCCAGCCTGCTGTCGCAAAGGAGGAAGTGGCATCCCTGCCCGAGAGTATCTTCACTGAAGAATTGGATATTGATCAAGGTAATTTTTGATGTAGTATTAAAATTTTTCTAAGGATTTTTATTTTTAAAAATGAATAGATAAAGAAGTAATTAAATTTTTGTCTGTTATCTAGTGACCACCTTGACACAGCGACTTGCTCAACCAGAAACTCAGCCTGAGAGCATTGTTGACCTCATTCCATCATGTAAACACCTGTGCACAAAGCGCTCTCAACGATGCAGAGGTTGTGAGCATAACGTCAGCAAACCAGATCTGAACCCATCATCTATCAAATTTAAAATTCAGCATGCTGCCAGGTAACTTTCAATGTCTTTCTTTTTTTTTTTAAAGAAATCTTGTTAACCCATTTTATTACTGGTAGTTAATTTAAAATAACTTGTTATTTTCAGTTTCCATGTGCCTGAGGTGCGTCTAGTGTCTGTTCAACCTCTGATTGGATCTAAAGAATGTGAAATAGTGATTGTGTTCAGCAACCCGTCACAGCAACCAACCACTATAAGCTTTATCACACTTGAGGAAGCTGAGGCAGAGGCTCAAGAGCACACTGAGGTCACCCCAGACACCTCAGTACCACAGGTACACCTATCTTTAAAGTCTATCCATCATTCACAATTGCAACTTTTGTCTCAGATATTGTATTTTTAATTTTGTTGTTTTGCTCTAGGGTGAAGCTCCCCCTTCTCTCTCATCCTTGACAAGATCCCCACCAGTGATGGAGGAACCCAGGCCTGTTAGTATCGCTGTGACGGGGGATGTCAACCTGCCAACTGCCGATGTGGAAATTGTTCTAGCCCCCAAAGATGATGCTGCTGAGTATGATGATTCCAGTGACACCCAACAATTCCATGATGACCCTCAGTAAGCTTTCAAAACAACATTCTCATGTATTTGTTATGTTTTCTGTTTTAATTAACATTTATTTTTTTGTAGGATTGTAGTTCATAGGAGGGCCAACAAGGCTTCTCTTCGCTTGACAGTTATCCCACACGCTGATAAAGCAGGGCAGAACTGTACAATTGGATTTGGGTTCCGGTATACATATATCAACCGTATTTCTACACCAGCCTCTGCATCATTTGAGCCTCAAAAGGTTCAACTCAGCTCCAGGACCTTCCTTAACTGTGGAAAAATAAAAGAGAGTCAGTGAGAGGAGAGAATCCTGAGGTTGAATCAGTTTCCATCTTTGTTAAATTATTGTTTCTAGTTAATTATTCCTTGCTTTTGCTGTTAAGTTATTGTGTTTAATTGATTATTCCTTGCTTTTGCTATTAATATTGTTGTTAGTTGATTTGGTAAATACTCTGTATTTTGCTAATGATAACTATTTTGTATTAATTTTATGTACCACAAGTAACCGTGTAATAAAAATTTTAAAAGGTCAGGACAAAAACGAGTCTCTGATTTTTAACCGTGAGCGCCACCCAAAAGCCACGCGATTGCGCCCACCGCTGTGACAAGTGGGAGGGGTTCTCCGTGGGGGTCTGCGTTTTGCTTGGGGCGGGGCGGCCGGGCCGAAAGGACCGAAATGAAACGGCGCGTCGTCGCGTCGCTTCGCTTCCTCGTTGCCTTGCTTTGCTTTCCACCGCGGCCGCGTCGAGCAGCGTCCGCAGCGTCGAGCCGGACCGGTCTCAGTGACGATACAGTGACGTGCCTCGTCCGGTAGTCATGGCAACCGGACCGCGGCGGCTGCGGAACGTGACCGAGCACGTGGTGCTCCTGGCACAACACCAACACGGCGAAGCGCGAAGCGGGGTTGCCTGTTGCTCGCAGAGCCCCTCGCGCCTCGAGTAGCCGTGCGCTGGTGTGTAAAGGAGTCGCACTGCCTCTCGCACCGCAACGGGTGCCGCTGGTACTTCCCTCGCCTCACCGCGGTCGCCCCCTGCTGCAGGACGAGCCAGCCAGGAGCAAGCCGGCCCGGCCCGGCCGCCCTGATGCAGTGTACGCGTCGCGAGCCTCGCCGGTCCCGTCAGACAGGTTTCCCCGCAGCATGCCATCCCGCGGGATGCCGTATCAACACCTGACTGCCATGCCGGGCCGGGACCCGCGCCAAAAACAGTCCGCTCGTCGCGTCGCCCGACTCGTCGCTTTCACTGTAAAACCGTTCCGGCCGCTCGTCATCGTGTCACCGTCGCCACCTACGCCGCAAATTTCATGCGACGCTTTGCGGCACCAACAGATCAGTTAGGATTTCCCGCTCGCGAGGTGCTTACGCGGGCGCGTATCGCGATCGCCTTCCCCTCCCCTCCTTTCCCCTGCAATCACCGGCCGCGGGAGGGGAGGGGAGGGGAGGGGAGGGGAGGGAGGGCCGTGGAGGGGAAGTGTTTATACCCGATCACTTCTGCCGGTGAGGGCATTCAGCAGCCGCACGCCGAGTTGAGTTGCCCAGCAGAGTTGTCCCGGAGCCCATCGCGGAAAAGCCTGCCTGTGCCATTCGCCGAGAGAAGACGAGAAGACAGCATCATGGACAAGATCCAAGCAGCTCTGCTCCTGTTCGGACTGTGCCTAGGTAGGTGTTTGTGTTTCGCTGCGTGTGACGGTGTGACCGGCGTCGGCGTCCTGGGTGCTTGTGTTGGTGTTCGGATGATCGAGGCAGGGCGGGTCGAAGCCAGTGCTTCATGGCCGCCGCCGACCGTGCAAAACGATGATTGCGCCCGGGTCTTTGAACTCGGCCTAACGAGGCAGGCGGTCGAACGGGGCGGCCGGGAGTGCAGTGCCGACGCGTCGCCGCGCATCGCTCCGTAAAGGAGGGCCGCTGACGGCGTCGTCCATGCAACATGCGACGCGAACCGCGCGTCGAAAAAAGAGAGGGTCCTATGCCGTGACCAGGATTCGAACCTGGGTTATCGCGGCCACAACGCGAGGTACTAACCACTATACGATCACGGCTGCGGCCCTCCTGGTGGGAGAGGCGGGGGAAAGGCGAGCACTTTGTTGACGGCGTGGGGCGCGCGGCACGCAGGCGCACTGCGCTCGCACTGCGCTGCGCGCCCGGAAGGCGGAACGCCGAAAGCCGCGGGGCGTAGCGGGGCGGGAGGGAAGTGCTTGGCTGGCTTGGCTGGGCCGGGCTGGAGTGAGTGCTGGAGCAGCCAGCGCAGCCGGTCGACTCGCGGTGCAATGTCTGCTGCGAACTTCCAAGTGGCGCGTTTCTGACTTTAGTCTCTTTTGACGCAGCGCTGGCCTACGCCGCACCTCAGCAGCAGCGTTGGTGGAACGGACGGCCGAGCCGCCAGCAGTGGCAGGACGGACAGGGCGGACTGGACCAACAACAACAACAACCACAGGACGGCGACAGACCGCGGCAGGAGTGGGGCTGGCCCGCGGAGCAGCAGCAACAGCAACAACAACAACAAGGTGGTGGCGCCCCGACGCCGCCCCCCGCCGACGGCGTCCTCACCGTCCTGCCCGCCAACTGCAACTGCCCCTCGCTGGACCAGTACAACCCCGTCTGCGGCTCGGACGGCAACACGTACCAGAACAAGGAGAAGCTGCGCTGCTTCGCGCTCTGCGGATCCAGTGAGTACGGCTGCCGTCGCTCTGTCTCTCTCGCACTCCTACGTGTGCGACAGAGACAGGGCGACGAAACGACTCGCATCGAACACGTGCTCTGTGGGGGTTGCCGACGTTCGGGGGCTTTGTTGGGTTGGACGGAGTTTACAGTACTCAGAGTCGAAGGCCGTCCGGAACCCGAGCCACCGCCGCCGCCGGGTTGCCGCTGCTGTTGGCATAGGAGGGCGTGGCGAGTCCTTGCCCCGCCCTTGAGTGTAGGTGTACTCTTAGGTGTACTCAGCGTGTTCCTCGCTCGTTTCCAGACGTGACCTACGTGCGCCTCGGAGTGTGCAAACGCCGCCAGGACGTCCCCACGTAGTTGCGTGGCGGCCAAACCGCCGAGTGACGCAGACGACGCGGACCTCGCCACCGCGACCACGTGTTTTGATTATCGTCTCGACTGACCAGTTATGATGACCGTATTATGTTTCCTGAGAGAGCGCTTTGAATGTATCCATTTTATTTATTGAATAACTTTACTGTGATTTTTTTGTAATGTGCTATTTTTATACCGCCAGTAAATGGTTGACTACGTATACAGTTTGTGTTGTTTTGCCTCCCTATGACCATCGTGGTGTCTTGAAGGAAAAGACAAACAGCTTGACTCTTTTCCATTTTTAATGAATTCCGAACATTTAAGTCCTAACCTACGATGAGAGTTGCAAACGGGCGAGGACAAGTACGCCCCTTCACAAACAAAACACACACAAACACACATGCGCCTCTCGCGCCCCGGGACGGGGTCGGAAGTGCGTTGGGTTGCCTACCGGCGAGGCGCAGTCTGCAGCCGATGCGCCCACCCGGTAGGCAACCCAACCGACTGCCGCCCCTGCACACTGATTCCGAGAGTCGTTCTCGTCGCTCTGTCTCTCTCGCATCGTACGGGAGACTCCATGAGTGCGAGAGAGGCGGAGCGACGAAAACGACTCTCGGAATCAGTCTGCAGCAGCGCAATAAATAATGATTCTGGAAGGCAGGGGTTCGCGACGTCCGCGCAGGTGGAGGTGCAGGCCTCCTCTTCTTGGCGTCCTCGGCGATCCATCCAGCCCCTCTAGGTGGGCGGGGGTACGGTGACGGTGCAGGCGCCACGGTGCTTCTGCCGGAGCGTATCTGGGGACACGAGCACGCGGAGTGAAGTGAAAGGCGTAAAAATACGAGTGACACGTCGTCCGTGGAACCGATCCAAGAAGACGCTAGGCGGTGGCGCCTTCTGAGGAATACCCGACAGGTCGGGCGGGGATTCGGCGACATGTACACAGTGACGGCGAGTCCTTTCGGGAAGGAGGCTGCACTTTCGCGGAGGGGGGATCCCCCGAGGCACGAGGCGCCGAATGTCGGGGCGTCTGCGTCAGTGTCTGTGCCGTGCCAACGACTCTACTCGCCATCGTGCATGACTCACAAAGCGCGCTGTACTACGACTCCCACTGCATCCTCGGGCTTGATTACTACCCGTGCCAAAATCCCGGAATGGACACCGCGTCGCCCCACGAGTGGTACTTCAGGCAGCACTTGCAGTGGAGGATCCAGAAGCCCTTGGGTGGCGGCAAAGTAGCACCTTTTGCCTCCCGACGGGGACGAATAATGGCGCCTACTCGTACTTACTGTTGCCGCAGATCTTGGCGCAGCGCAGCAGGGTGGGGTTGCCGTAGGTGGCGCCGTCCGTGCCGCACACGGGGTTGTACTCCTGCGTCGAGGTGCAGCCGCAGTCCGGCCGCGGCGTGGACGGCGGCCGCACCCCGCCGATGGCGATGGGGTTGGGCCTGGGCGTCGTGGTGGAGGCAGGCCGGGAGCCTGCGCAGCAGCGCGGACAACGAGTCATAAGCGATGCCGTCGGCGTGCGGCCATTCATTAATAAAGATGCGAGGAGGTGACGCTTGGACGCTTACCTGGCCTGTTGTTGTTGTTGCCCGGCCGGTTGTTGTTGTTTCCAGGGCGGTTGTTGTTGTTTCCAGGATTGTTGTTGTTTCCGGGGCCGTTGTTGTTGTTTCCGCCCCAGTTGTTCCCGGGGCCATTGTTATTGTTGTTTCCGCCCCAGTTGTTTCCGGGGCCATTGTTGTTGTTGTTTCCACCCCAATTGTTTCCGGGGCCGTTGTTGTTGGTTCCACCCCAGTTGTTGTTTCCAGGATTGTTGTTGTTTCCACCCCAATTGTTATTTCCGGGGTTGTTGTTGTTTCCACCCCAGTTGTTGCCGCCGCCTACGCCGTTCAGCCACGGGTTCTGGCCGAAGTTGATGTCCGAGCCACCACCCTGCTGCTGCAGTCCGTTACTTCCTCCTGCGGGATTGTTATTGTTGTTATTGTTGCTGCCGCCCCAGGGACCCCAGGGGTTGTTGGCCGCTACGCCCCCGTTGCCGAACCCGGGTCCCTGAGGCTGTCCAAACCCATTGCCAGGGAGCCCAGCAGTCCCAGGGCCGAACCCAGGGTTTGGAGGGCCGAGCCAACCGTCTGCAGGGCCGAACCCAGGGTTGCCAGCGCCGAACCCATCGTGGTCAGGGCCAGGCCCACCCCCGAAGCCGCCCCCGAAGCCGCCCCCGAAGCCGCCCCCGAAGCCGCCTTGCTTGGGGAGCCTGCGCTTGGGAGGAAAAAATATTCCGTCGGCCCGGCTTTGCGCGCTTTGCGGGGGAAGGGCGACGTGGTCGTCGAGGCCGTCATTACCGAGAGCGCTATCGTCGTCCTGCCACTCGGACGCGCCCCAGTACGTGGCAAAGCGGTTGTGGACGTTGCCGTCGAGGCCGTGGCCGTCCTGCCTCCGGGGGGCTCCTCTAGGGCCGCCAGAACCGCGGCTGCGCTGCGCCGCGGGGCTGCCGGTGGCGAACACTGCCAACAGAACCAAACGGGGGCGTCAGGGGACTAGAGACGGTCAGGGAGGCAGATGTTCAGCGAGACAACGTGGTGGATGTTGACGACCGCGAGCTGCTGCTGCCTCCGCGTGCCCCACGCCCCGAACCTCGGACCAAGCCCCGGGGCCCCCGGGCACCACCAGAGTCGCCCGGGGCGACACCAGCGACATCGCCAATCTCCTGTCGGTGGCCGAACCACTTTCGCGCGGGTGGCCGCGGTGGCGGTCTGCCGCTACCGGCCGCTGCATCATGGCATGGCCACGGCATCATGGCCAGGGCATCATGGCCGCACCGGTATGGTGCCTCGGAAATGGAAACCACTCCGGAAGACGCTCATCGACGCCATGACGCAGCCAGGACGCTGTAATGAGCGAATCACGAGCGAGTCTCGCCCAAAAAAACTGATTATCATTCCTTTCATCATTTTTCCACTCTTTTTTTTTCGCGAGTCGGGAAGGCAGAATGTGAGAACAGGAGCCGGCGACCCGTCTATGACCCCGGGGCGTGTGATTACGGGCCACGACTCTGCGGCCAGCGAGCCAAACCGAACCGAAGCGCGGAGAGAATACATGATCGAAGATCGACATCCACACGACAACAGGAGTGTTGTGACGGTTTTGACTCGGGAAGCGTTGCCGCGCGCTGCGCCCGTCGCCTAGACTGGCTGGGCCATGCCATGCCATGCGCGGGCTTTCCCAGACGGCGTCGCGACATCTTTTCATGGCCTAGCTGAATGGCGCGTCAAGTGGTGGCGTCTGCGGTCTGACGTCACCCTGGGCCCTGCCTTGCCCTGCCGGGGCGGCGAGAGCACCGGGGCTTGCCGAACGCCGAACTCCGGGTGCACTCGCCGCGTCGCTGCAAGGCATGGAGGAGGCCCCACTGTAAGGCGCCGGCCGCCTGAAGGACCATCACCCCGCCGCGCCCTCGGCGTCTACTTACGCGCTAGACACGCGACGACGGCCAGCAGCGCCATCGCCGCCCTCGCGATCAAGGTCGGCATGCCGGTGGAGGCTCGACTTGCACGCCGGTGAATGCGGTCCGGGAGGGAACGCGCCGGGGAGGGAACTGAAGACCAGTCCACTCACTCCACTCGACTCGACTCCAGTCCACACACGGCACGGCCGCGCGGCTGCGCCACCGCGCCACCTGAGGGGCCCAGGGGCCCCGCCCGCTACCGCCGTCCCGCCGTGTGCCGGCCGGTCCGTCCGCCGCGCGCCGCTCACCGGCCGGGGCCAGGAAGGCCGAGAAGGCGCGATGCGAGGACCGGTCGACCGGGCCTGTCCTCATGGTAATGACCAATGGCATGGTGGGGGTGGGGTGCACGGCCGGCGTGGCCGCGGGGAAGACCATCGCCTCGGAGGACACGGGCGAGATGACTTCGCTGTAGCCCAGATGCAGCTAGACAGCCCCAATAGTGTTCCCGTCAAATCCCGCAACTTCCTTATCACTCTATCGAGGCCCTGGTGGTGCATGCGAGGCATCCACTGTGGTGAAGCAACGTGATAAACCTAAATCAACTGAAAACGACAAGGACGCGTGGGGATTCCCTCGTCTGACCACATCGTGGTGGGTCTCTCGGCCCGAGTGTGTTTCAAAAGGGAAAAAAGGGAAGCGGACGAAAGCACAGTGTATAGTTCCAACCCTTTAATGCATAAGAATGTACAATAGATAACAAAGGTAATAATTACACTGACACGCACACACACAACACACAGCACTGGCAATTATATTGCCTTACATAGATTCCGCCTCAAATAAGGCAAATAACAGAAATTATCCAACAACCATAAACTATCTAACATTATGTTCAAGTTACAAGTACTACCATCGGGTAAGGTAGTAGCACAAAGGCACTGGGCGAGTCGAGAGCCCAGAACTACTAATGATATCACCACTCACACAAAGGAAACAATGCAAGGTACAACAGAATTCATTATTGCTTTCCCTACTTGTGATAGTAATTTTGTATTTTTTTTAGCATTTGGAACTTGCAAGGAAAGCTCTTTTCACTCAAATTTTATTTGTATTTAGGTTGTTTTCCTGATTAATAATGCTAAGGGAAGGGGTCTAGAATAGGAGACTTTCACAGAAGTTATCAAAAAACATAGCACAGATGTAAAGCAAGTGAGCTGGGATTTTAACTGAACAACATTCACTCTTTAATTAAATGTATCACATAAGTGGCTGTTCAGATAAAACCTTTGAGAAACAACAGGTAATTTCACTATTTCAATAAAACAAGAGAAAAAAAAAAGAGCTAAAACATTTTTTTTTCATTCAAACTTTTGGGTTGAATAAGGCAACAGAGTTGTTAGCATCCAAGAACCTCATACCCTGAGCAAATAAGAACAGAAACATCAGATATATTCACCCCATAGAATCAATCAAGCAAGCTAACCAAGTACAGCACCATCTTGCTCTACTGCATGAACTTGTGTGAGTTATGTTCACAGACATACGACAGTTCAAGTAATGTGTGGACCACTCCTTAGTTTTAGTTTGAAATATTGTGCACCTGCAAGTTTGAAAGCAAACATTTAGGAACAGTCTCTCATGTATGTAAAAGGAACACGACTTGATACAGTAGGTGATTACACCGATTCTCTAAACATCCGATTTGATAAGGATGAATTACAGAGTACAGTTTTAGATAGACAACACTGAACTCACTGGTCCATCTGGTCTCCAATTAGGTTATTATTTCGTCATTTTACAAGACAATATTATGCACACAAACCTAAATGTCTTACACTTTGTACATAAATATTAACAAGAGTAATAAAACATGAAAAATTAAGAACAATCAAGCAATTGCTGAAAAAGTGGCAAGGACGCCACAATTATGAACACTGAAATCATTATTATCAGCCTTGAGGTTTCAAGAAGGGACATGCTGGTTCACATGAGAATACAATGTTATTTTATTTTACTGGGAGGTCAGAGATCAGTAAGCATATTAAAGCTCTATACACCAAAATTAAAAATGTCTTCTGATCAGAGTCTTGAGACAAACAAATGCATGTGTCTAAAGAAACTTCATGAGACACCTTAGAAAGATTTATTAAGAAAAACTTACATAAAATGGACCCATGGAACCTACACTATCCCTAAACTGAATTATCCTTAAATACCATTCATACAGCCAAGGAAAAAAAATTGAAGGAAAATAAAAGAAGAAATATGGGTGGGCTACATTATAGTTGGCACGTTTTTAAAACAAAAGATATCTCAAAGTTTGAAGTGAATCCAGATCAAAGAAGCACATTTACTACCCTGCACATGCTTGGAAAAAAAAATCGTGGATTAAGAAGCTTTTGGAGCTGAGAATTGGGATAGGCGAAGTCCTTGGCACCATAATACAACGAAATGTGACCAAGTCATTCACAATTAGCCCAAAATTAAAATGGAGAGAACCATGCAGTTGGAATGGCACAGCAATAACACTTGCTAAGCTGAATTGCTATGTTACCCCAACATTTACTTTTCTAGCTCCAGCATTATTCTTACAGTTGTGCTGATATTCATAGTTCTGTAGAAATCATAAAATAAAATTTAAAAAAATAAAGCTACAACCGTTGGTAATTAAAACCACAACAACAAATTAAAATGGTCACGTCATGCCTGAAGCAAAGAGATATTTTGAATACAATACAGAATTGTTGTCCTAGAGAGGTGTTTTTGTTAAAATTACCTGTGTTCAAGAGATAATGCATGAAGACTTCTCTTGTACGTTGCCATTAGCCTTTTCAATCTCCAAAATAAGTGTGTGGAAAATCTCTCCGACAGACTGGAAACAAATCAGATAATTTAGAATTAACCAATGAATTCATTATTGAGCACGAAAATGTCTCCCTAAAGTTATACAAACCTCATTTTGTTTTGCAGATGTCTCTAGGAACCCAGCCTTCCAGGACTCAGCGAGCCTTTTCCCTTCTTCACAGCTAATCATTCTCTCCATATGCAAATCTGTCTTGTTTCCAACCAGAACAATTGGGAGACTGTTGCAGAACACAAAAACATCATTGTTTTAAGAGCCAATAACAAATACGAGCTGCAAGTCAAACTTTTGAAACATAATAAATTTTTAAAATACTTACTGTACTTTGCCAGTCATGTCCAGCAGTTTCTCATAGATAACTTGAACAACATCAAAGGACTTCTCTGAAGTTATTGAATATACAAGGACATACCCATGGATATCCATTGAGTACTGAGCAGGGAAAATTGAATATTCATCCTGACCTGCAGTATCTACAACCTTGACTTCATATTCTTGACTATTGACTTTCGTTGATTTGGTGAAAGCTATCAAATAAAATTGGTAAATTGATAAAAAAATACTTATTGGGGAGTTACCTGTAATCTTCTGTCAATAAACTATACTCACTATTTTCTATGGTTGGGTCATAAGAATCAACAAACTGCCCTTCAACAAACTGAATACTCAGTGATGATTTGCCTGCAAAGTAAAATAACCATGTTAAAGCTTGATGATTTATCAGCATCAGCTGAAAATGATACATCAGGAATAAGAATGAATTTATTTTAAAAGAGTGGGCACTCTGTGCTGGTGAAGCATCAGGTCAGAGAGCATGGTAGATTTATCGAATGTAAGGCAGAGGCCTCAGAAAAGGTTCAGTCAACAAATTGCTGAGGATGCAACTCGCTGAATCCGAAGGGCTCTTTGGGCATGCTACCATCTCGAAAACAACAACAATGCTTTTACAAAGCCCTCAGCACCACACCACCACGAAGGCCATCGAGAGCAACGCCATGACGGGGGCTGGGGGCTTAACGTCACAAAGCTCGCACCGAAATTAACGATCAGGAAAAAGAAAAACCGTGATGACAAGGTCAGAAATATAAACTGCGCAAATCTACATAGGCTTAGCGAGGCAACACATTTAACCTCCAACCACACCATGTTTCGAGGGCACTTTTAACTTACCCACGGAACGATAGCCCAAAATAGCGATTTTACGTTGCTTGGGGGGCATCTTGGTGGCAAAAATTAGTTGACACACAACAAAAGAAACTGCCAAATGAAGAAAATTGAGCTAAACACAAGCAACACAGCCCAAGAGCAGGAACCAATAACTGCCAATAACCACAACAGGGGGGAGGGGCGGAAGGGGGGTGTTTTGCCTCGTGGCCAACTTCGATACATCGAATGCACAGCGAGAGTGCGGGGGGTGGGGGAGGAAGGATGACTGCAGGCAGGTCGATAACAAAGATGGCGTGAAGAGGGGACACTTCGCTGGAATGTATCTGCTCTAGGCCGTTTTTCTGCGCGAAAACTGTCCGTTCGACTCTGTTTCTGCTCGTGTTCCCGGACGAGACTGTTGGCTGAGTGATATGCTTATGGGCGTCCACCACACCGCTGCTTGATCGACCGAAAATGACGTGAGTAGCGCTGCGCAAGCTGCGGGTCCCCTGGGCAGGCTTCCAGCAATGCCTACGTCTTGGGGCGATATCTGCTGCAACTGGAGCCCGCGGGCCGCGGGGGTCCGCCCCGACGTCGAAGGGCGGCCGTGGGGGCTTTGGCCAGAATCTGGGGGCATTGGGGTGTCTGTGAGGCCGCCAGGGACGCCCATCTCCGGAGCGCCGTCTGCTGTGGCTGTTGTTTGTTTCTGCAACTCCGCGGGGTCATGTCGTGTCGTCTGGACTTGTTTACGTCGCTGCAGCCCGCGGCGCAGGGCGGGCCCTGCCAGTGTTTTCTGGCGGCCCTGTCTCTGGTTTGGCGCGACGGGGCGCGTGGATGTCGCCGGGTTTGCGTCTGGTTTGTTGGGTTGAGGGTTTGGGGCGCGGCTGCGCGGCTGGGTCGGGGCCGGCTCGTTGAGGGTGGCCCCCTCCCCTTGGCCTGCTTGGTGGGTGGTGGCATGGTGTCCTCTGTGCACGGCCTCCCTGGTTGCAGTTGCAGTGTCGCTGCACCGGTAGGGCTAGGCCTGTCCTTGGCCTGAGGTGTGCCTAAGGAAAACATGGCCAGTGGGCAGGTGTGACACGCTCAATGGGGTGACTCATTGCGGGGTGGGGGGACAGGACAGGTGTGAGTTAGCGCTATGTGTTGAAAAGTCACGACAACTCGGACAGTGTTAGCACAGTTGGTCCTGCAGTGTTTCTGAAGATTACACAGCCCCATTTCTGGAATATATGTATTTTTCTGTTAAGAGATTGCTAATGCTCGATGTTATGTCTTTTTGCCCTCCAGTGAAGTCAGTATTTCTTCTGCAAGAGCGTCTGTGATGGTGTATGACGATGTCAACAAAAAGTGGATTCCCAGTGGAGGGACGTCTGGAATGTCGAAAGTGCACATTTACCACCATCAGATCCACAATACATTCAGAGTTGTCGGCCGTAAGCTGCAGGATCATGAGGTTAGTAATGTGCCAAATAAAATTTGCTATACACTTCTGATGTTCCTTGCCTCACCTCATTTAATTTCTTTGTTAGGTCGTAATAAATTGTGCCATTCTGAAAGGCCTGAAGTACAATCAAGCAACGCAAACTTTCCATCAATGGCGAGATAACAAACACGTTTATGGCCTCAACTTTAGCAGTAAAGAGGATGCAGATTCATTCGCGCGAGCTATGCTTCATGCCCTTGAGGTAGTTACTGTGCTTAATTTAAAAAAAAAAAATAAACATGTAGGTTTTGGTTTTGAATGAGGTTTAAGCTGTTTCCTGTTTACCAAATGATACTAGGTCCTAGCAAGTGGTGTCAATCGAAATCCGGCTCCTCCACCCGCACCACCGCAGCAATATGCTCAAAGCAATGGCCAATATGAAGATGATATGGGAGGTTATAGGTACTTTGGCTTTACATCACTGTCCTTTGTTAACAATCCTCCATAGTTTGAAGAAGAAAAAAATAATAATGTTTTTCTTTCTTAGATCAACTCAAAATATGGAACTTGAACGCCGCATGTCACAACAGTCACAGAGTAAGCACATAGCCTCCTGAAAAGCTGTTGCAGCCAAATGGAGCTGTCGTAATGTCTGTAACATTTTGGCTTGTTTTGTTTGTCTCCAGTGCTGAGCAGTCCGCAAGCAGCCACGCCCCCCGGACACCACCGCACCTCTTCCGCACCCCCAGCACCCCAGGCACCTCCCCTGAGCATCGCGCCGAGCATGGCGCCGTGCCCGCCCCCCGCCCCGCCCGCACCGCCAGCCGCACCAGCGCCCGCCCCCGCCCCTGCGCCCCCCATGATGGGTGGCCCCCCGCCCATGATGGGAGGCACTCCCCCCATGATGGGCACGCCCCCTATGATGGGGGGTGCTCCTCCACCCATGATGGGGGGTGGCGCGCCGCCCCCGCCCCCACCGCCCCCCAACATGTCCCGGTCCTCGAGTTCAGATGGCCAGGATGCCAGTTCGCTCGCAGCCCAACTTCAAAGTGCCCGCCTCAAGAGGGCAAATGCAAATGCTAACAAGGTGCCGTATTTTGTTTTTTGTTTTCTTTGCTACTATTATTTTGAGAGGTTTGTCATGAATTGTAAGAGACCTAATGTTACTGGTTTTTGTTTAGCAACCAGCAGAGAACAGTGGTTCAAGCACCAGCAGTGGTGGCAGCAACTACGGCACGTTAGGCAGGAGCCCCATGGGAATGGCGAGTATGATGGATGAAATGGCTAAGACTCTAGCTAGGAGACGTGCTGCTTGTGAAAAGAAGGAGCCTGACCCAGTGGTAAGCAATAGTACATGATGCTACTTTCATCCGTTTCACCTTTTAGAGACCTCACCCCATGGATGGATTTTATTACAGGACGATCAAGATAAGAAGCAGTGGGATAAAAATAGTGGTGGTAAACTTGCAAATGGTGGGGAGTCACCTAAACCAGGCCGTAAGCGCTTTGGCTCATCATCCGAAGAGAATCTAGTGCCTAAGGTCAACGGCCTTAATGGTGGTGATGCTAATGGAGGCTCTATAGGAGATTTGGACGCTCTCAAACAAGAGATCATTCGAGAGATGCGACAAGAAATGTCTCGATTGAAGCAGGACCTCATAAATGGTAAGTCAGTCTTTATGATTCCTTAAGTAATCAGTAAATAAAGTCTTGTGACAAAAACTTTTCTTGTATCTGACTGGTTTGTTCTTTTGCAGTGATCAAGCAAGAACTTGCGAGACGGTAATGGAGGTTGCCTTCTGGAAACCTTGCCTAGGCATTGACTGAGCCTCTTGCAGTTTTGTGTTGCTCTTAGGCCCATCTGTGGCATGTGAATGTTTTTATAAGTTTCATATTTAATATGAATTTGCATTGAGAAGTCTGTCTGAAACATTGTCTTCAATGTTAATATTGTATTGGGGTGCGAGTTCCAAACCTTATCAAATATTATACAGTATAGTATATCCTAATTGTATTGTGATTAATGATAAATATTGGTGGGAATACGTTGCTAGTTAATATGATAAAATAATTTCCTATTATCTGCTAGGAAAGCATTTACTTGTTTTATTGCTTGCTGGAGTGAAAGCCTGCCATATGGAATTCGGCCACATTTTATAGTGAATGAGGGTACATTGTTTACCTGTCATGTATAGACTGTGTTACATGGTTTGAGTGTTGCTGTGTTATCATTAGTACCTCTCATCCTGCTAAGATATTCGTTATATTTATGTATACATAGGATATATAAATGAATTGGAATGTATACTTATGTATACATATTTATAAATATACGAACACATATTTTATTTTTGTTTCTTAGTTTAATGTACTTTTCTAGCATTCCCTTGAGTGTTTTCAAGCTTTCTCTTTCACTCTTTTGCTGTTTTCATTTCTTGTCTTAAAAATTCTGTTTTGGGACCATGTCTATTATTTGGTGTCTACTTAGGTAACTGGTGTAACGAACTACTTTTTTAACTACTTAAATTTGGAGTCATAATAACAGAACTGGTATTCTGAAATTTTGTATTATTGAATCTTTGCCAGTAGCTTATGATTTATTGCTGCAGTTCGATTTCTGTTTGGGTTCTCCTTGCTTGTTATAATTTTGGTACCGGTGCCTGTTCCCTTGTGAGGTGTCTTGGAAAAGTATTGCATTACTTTGATTGTACCAGTTGTGGTTAATTTTGAAGAGTGGGCTTGATAGTGCTTGAGGGAATCAAGCTTGGTAAAGTGAAATACGTTCATACCTGCTTTATAATGTGCGTCATGATTCTTTCAATCTTTCATGCATATGTTCAATGAATGCCTTTGTATTGAACAAGCTCTTCCTATTTGTTTCTTACCTTACAGAAATTATATGTTGATATAAATATTATTTTATATTATTTATGCTTTGTAAAGTGTAGGAGTGAGTCACTTGAGGGGGGAAAGGAATTTTATTTGCAAGATCTGTTTATATTATTTATGGATGGTTATTTTTGCGCATTTGTTAATGATTTGTGTGTAAATAATCAGTGTCTACTTATGTGTAAATTCATTGGTAATTTCAATTTTAGTAGATATGGTGAGTGTTAAACCATGACATTGCCACAGTGAATGAGTTTTATACTATTGCTAGCATATTTAAAGACAATTGGAGATCATCTCGCTTTTTTTAATCAAAGTATGTGCCATTAGTTGTGGTGCATTGTAATAAACAATTCCTACTGTGTGAACAATGATTTTCTAGGATGCCGTAATTTTGTGGCTGTGGATTTTTTTTATCCGGAAAAGTAGTTGCCACTCTGAAATTTTAAAATCCTTAGTGAAATCTAGTGTAGGTTTGAGTTCTCTTCTTCTGTCCTGTGTTTGTACAACATTCTTTTCCTTGATTTGAACTGTTCCTCCTTTACTTTGATTCACTGACTTACAGTATTACCTCTTTGTCACATGCATTTTTTTTTATTAGGACTATGTGTAGGGTTATCAAACATAAAAGACTTGAATGTGTGCTTTGAATTGTGTTAACTGTGAGAGCAAACTGTACTTTATGAATCCTGTATGATTTCTAGCTTGTTTTCATGACTTAGTTGAAAGTGAGACAACCATGCATCTACAGAAAATACAGTAATGAGCTCCATGATATACCTAAGACTGTTTGTATTATGCTTTTCAAATGCTTGGATTTTCAAATAGTGTTCAGTGCTGTCTTCTGTTTGTTTCTTATAATTTTTAAAGGCATCCTCTACTTGCCGCCACTTAGTCTCAACCTTATTTTTCACCGCTGATCATTCCAGAATTTATTACAATGTAAATTGTCAGCTTGTTTGCAAATTGTTTTAGCTTTTGTCATCTTGCATGCAGTACCCTCGCTATTTCTCAAGAAAAGGCATTGTTTTACTCTGTATCTGTGATCCCTGCTTGCTTCCGCCAAATCTCTCAACATATATGAACAAATTTTCTTGTGTATGCCGTACTTTGTAGTAGCACATTCTGTACTTGCACATGACAGTCTATGGAGCTCTTCTGGCGGGACTCTGCTCTTGTGTGGCGTTTTGTGAAGAATCTAAAGGAAATGGCTTTGTGGAACCAAAACTCTCTTCCTCTCTAAGATATTTCTGTTGTTTTTAGCATTTATGCTAGAAATTGGTGACATGGAAATGAAAGGACTAAGTCTTCCCTTGGCTGTTGGCTAACTTCTTCCAAAGGTAATAGTGTTCAAGGTTGATAGTTTTGATAAATGTTTTATTATTTTTTAGAAATGGGTCTAGCTTATATTATTATCAAGGTTTTCTTTTCACCTGTATTCCATTGTAGTAAAGTTGCACTCTCTGTATGAGATTCTTCTGTGCTCGAAGTGGGTTAAGTGAACACATTTGCTGAGGCATGCACTATTATTGTAAATCACAGATTGAATTCATTCTATCTATGTCTGACAATAATGTGCAATGCTCTGCATTCTTTTCATTAAAAAGACACACAAGCTTAGCTGCACAGGGTCTGTCATTGTTATTTTGTCATCCAAGCGTGGTGGTTTACTTTCATTTTTGATCAGTTGTTTGCTCCAGCATTTTCTCCTTTTGAAGAAATTATTACTTGCTCAAGTGTATCTTTGATATTGTATGAAATATGCAATGCACAAATGACTTGTAGATACTTTTACTTGTATCTCATTGTTAATAATTAAATACAGTAGGATATAAAGGACCATTTTATGGAATTTGCATATTTCTTATTGTTGGCGGCTTTCTATAACCTTGTATGTTTCATCTGATTGTGGGGTGTCCCTCCTCGCCCCTTCCATATTATTGTTTTAGTTGAAAACCCATGTGAGCTCCATCCCTAAAAAATTGCATGCTTTCTTACTCAGTATTCTTCAACGGTTAAATTTTCCAACATGTTCATTACATTGACATTGTAATATATAATTGAGAGGACATTGAAAAGGCTATGTGGTCTATCAAATGTATGTTCTAATCCTCTAATGGGCACGGTAGTGTCATGTAGTCACCATTGTAAGATTTTCTTTAAGTGTGTTTCTAATCAAACCAAAGGTCTTTAAGCTCTGAGAAGGAGTGAAAAATGAATGAATATTTCCTCCTCCACATGTAAGATTTTGCTGATAAGAAAGAGCAGATGGTTACCAAGTGCATTCTGTTGTGTTTCATACCTGGGATTCTTAAATTATTTTCCTCCAAATATGAGTTTCTTTCACCACTAGTAATCTTATTGATATTACACAAAATTGTTGAGTCGATATGCACACCTCTTTGCCTCTAACTGGGAAAAACTCAATAGATATCTATTCTGTGTACTGATGCTTCTTATGCTCCAGTTGGATGGATTTTATTGATTTAATGTAGTCTTAAGTCTTTTCAACCAGTAGGGTTGCAAACAATGCAACTCTACTGGTGCTTTTTGCTCTATGCTAATCACTAGAGGAGTATGCTTATTTCAATAACAAGCACATAGTCAGTATGTTTAAGTTTAGTTTAGTAAGCATTCAATGGGTATTTTCTGTTCTAACTTAAATGGTTGCCACATCGTTTTCCTGTAATTTTCCCCTCTAGGGACTTTGGTAAAGCAGTGCAAACTAACTGACTGTACTGAAGCTCAAAGATGCAGCCCATTTGATCCCATGTTTTGTCAGATGCGACTTTGTTATTGAACCTTAGTAGAGCCATAGTCTGAAGAAGAGTGGACAAAAATTAGTAACACACACCCTTGTTTCTTTCTGTGTGCAGACGTACACATGGTGGTAATAGAACTTCTCTAGCATTTTCAAATTGACTATTTCATTAAAATCCTTTGCCATAACATGATTCTCTGAAAATAAATCCTGGTTTCTTGTTTTAGGTGTGTTTATGTGTGTGCGTATGTGTGATGAAGATGTCCCAACAGAATTGTCTTTAACACATGTGATTTATTTTGTAGCTAATTTCTTTTCTGTAAATATTTTTTATTGCAAATTTTCCTTTAGTATAATTTTTTGCACTGCTCTTTTCTGGTTTTAACTCAACAAGTGAACAAAGTCACTTTTTCATACACGCAAACATTTTGTGTTTTCATTTTCCAATACCTTGGGTAACTATACGAATAATATGGTTGCATCAATAAAAATGAAAAAAGTTTGTTTTTTTTTATCATACCATATCATGGTTAGTTAGGCTCCCTGTCATTTCTGTAATTTCTTAAACCCTTCAATGTGGTAGTGGTACTTTTCTGATCTCATTCCTGTCAACTTTTGATTTGTGAACCATTTCATTCTCCCATTGAACCAGTAAGTAATTAAAGTGTGTACATGTGTAAATGATGATGTACAAGTAGGATGTGAATACTACTCTACGCTGGACTCCTTTAACAGGCCAGCAGCACACGAATGTACCCTAATGTGGATGCCATATTTACTTTGTCATTTTGCATTGTATTTTCAATAAAGTGATTAAAGAGACTCGTGTTCTGGTCACTGCCTTCTCTGCCAGAGACCAAGAGGCTAACGCAACGCCGTGCGCCGTGAGCGACTTGCCAGAGTGACACAGGCTCAGGCACAGCCCCCTCCTGTCCTGTCCCTGGCCCGATGATTCAGAGAGCTAGTCCAGGCCGGATTCAAACCGAACGCCGTCGCGCTGCAGTGGCGTGGTCGCTGTCTCTCTCGCACTCACGCAACGCCCCACGAGTGCGAGAGAGACAGAGCGTCGAAGCCACTGTTCTGTCGCTGCTCCAATCAAGGCTCGAATAACCCAGAATGACCCGGCCCACCTTGCACGTCCTTGGCAGTCCTTGGCGGCACGTCAGTGCGGTGCGGCACACTGTACCGGTTACCTCCTGACCCTGTCCGGCCCTGTCCGGGCCTCGGCCATTACGTCCATCTTCCACCTTTGCGGCCACCCAGACCTCGTTTTTGTTTTTGTTTCATCGAGTGGCTTTGGCAGCTGCAGAGCACCGCTTGCTTCGCTTGCCTGAAGCCTGTGAGTGAGTCAACTCAGGAGTGAACCCACAACGCCGCGATCCGCGACAGCAAACAGGCCGTGGTCCAAGACACGGAACCACAGCGCACCAACAGGACGATCTTTAGAGGAGGACGTTTCGGAGGAGCTGGTGCGGCGACCACGGGGAAGCCCCAGACTAGAACACTTGGCGCGAACCTGCTCTGAACGGAACCCAAGTCGGTTCGCGCGAGCTCGCTTCATCAAAACAAACCTATATAGTAGTCAGTTTAAAATGACAGACTGAAGGGAAACCCGCAATCCGGTATTTTGGTTCAGTTCTGAGCAGGTTCGCAGCCAAGTGTTTTATTTTGTCTGAATGAGCTTCTCACAGTCCTCCGTGTTCGAACCGAAACTGGTTCCGCGCGCCTTGCCGACGCCGGCACACGGCACGTGCTGGGGGCGGAGGCGGAGGGGCGGAGGTCCAAGCGTAAGATCAAAAGTCACGACGGGGGCCAAGATGACAGACAAGTGAATGGACCCCTATTTTGGCGCGGGCACTTTTGGCTCGTGCTCCAGGTCCCAGGATCGAGACTTCGAGACGTCTGCTGGGCTGGCTAGCTGGACTCGACGCGCGACGAGTAACGACGCGCCGCCATTCGAGACTTGCTATTCGATGACCAGGACCGCGACGACGGCGACGCCCCCCTCCCCCGCGCACCGCGGTGAGTGGAACATCCCCGCGTCCTTGGGAGAGAATCACAGAGCACTTCTTCACTCTGTCTCTCTCGTGCCCCGAAGGGATGCCCTGAGGTACGAGGGCCGCCACACGTCGGCCCGGTCCTCGTCACAGTGTCACAGTCCTCCAGCGCCATCAACAAATCCATCAGGCGGGCAGCAGCCGCCTGCCTCGGAAGGATCGTCGCCGTGCCTGTCTGCCTGTCTCTGTCGCCCTCGCGGGGCGTCGCGCCGTTCCTCTCTGGTTCCGCGCGGGTGCGAGAGAGACAGAGCGGCAGAGCGACGAGGCGGCAGGCTGGCAACAAGGCGGCCAGTGTTGCGGCCCCCTGCCGTCGTTTCGGCGTAATCATTCAGTTAAGCTGGCCGCCTCGCCGCCTCGCCGCCGCGGTGACATAATGTGCGAATCCACTGCCACACTGTAGCACGCGGTAGCGTGTAGCACACTGGAGGCGGGCTGGAGGCTGCGGCTGGCGCGGCAAGCTAGTCCAGGACCGCCTGACGACGGCGGGGTGGGCAGCCCGGCGGACGTGGCCGTGCACTCCTTGCCTACCCAGGCACGGCAGGCGCTCGCCCTGCCAGTGTGCCAGTGCGCGCCCTGCCCGGCCCCAAGCCGGCAGCGAGCGCGGACCGCGGACGGCCTCGGACGGAATGTTTTCACTGAGGGGCAAAACAAATATGACAACGAGAAAAAGAAAGACGGTGGATCTGCGCGGCGCTCCCCACAGGGCAGCGCGTTCCAGAGTTCCAGCCCGGCCGGCGGCACACTGATTCCGAGAGTCGTCGCCCTGTCTCTCTCGCACTCACGGGTCTCTTGCGGGTGCGAGAGAGACAGGGCGACTCCCAGTCTGCTGCCCGCTCACGCACCGTGTGAGCGCTTATCTGTGTTACCCGAGGCCACGCCACGCCACGCTAAATACGAACTGGCTCCATGCAGTATGCGTCGGCTGGCCTGCCTGGCCTGGCTGGGAGGGGTGGGAAGGGGCGTTAGGTGAGGAGGCCCCCGCTGCCCCCGCTCGGCTTTTGCCGACGCCGTCCTGACCTGACCGAGAGTCGCCTTCTCTGTCTCTCTCGCTCTCACGGGGCGCCCCGTGTAGCTGCGAGGGAGACCGAGCGACAGAGTCTGCAGGGCCTGAGAGGGTAACGCCCTGATCCACGCCAATTGGATAATGGCCATGTCCGGTGGTCTGACCCTACGTAAGCCCTTGGACGCGTATAGGGCAGACTGATTCCGAGAGTCGCTTTCGTCGCTCTGTCTCTCTCGCACTCATGGGGCGCCCCGTGAGGTGCGAGGGAGACAGAGTGACGGAACACACGACACTGGCGGCGAGCCCTACGTTCGCCGCGTTCGCCCAAATGACATTGAAAGGCCCTGGCAACGCAGGGTAGCGCGCCGGGTGCGCGGGCCATCAGGTACTGCCGGTCCTCAAAGACGTCTTGATACGGGACCACAAATCGCCGCCGCGCAGGTCCCCCTGGCGGCCGAGCCGAGCGGTGCCGAAGAGTGCCGAGCGGCCGCCGAGCGGCCGGAGCCGAAGGGGACTTGGTGCCGCGCCGAGCACGGCTGCGACTGGTACCACCTTGGTCGCACCGGCCCTATTCATCGAAATAACCTAAATGCTAACAGTTTTAACATCTACTAGCCAGGGGAAAGCCTTCGGCTTCGATGCAGAGCTAGATTCTGCTGCAGATGGAAATGCATGTTCGTCAGAAGGAAATTGTAGTATGTTGGTGTGGACGGAAGGCTACCTTAACATTTTAAAAATAATTTGTCCAACCTATCCTAGCCAAACCTAACGGGCTCGCTACAGATCTTATTCTAATCGCAGCAGATCTATTTCTAATGCCAACAGATCTTACTCTATTCTCAAAATATTTTATGCTACAGTCGCGACAATTTTCGGTCACTTGCGACCTGACCAACTTCACGTAACCTAACGTACCATCTAAACCAAACCTTAATATTCTTAAAACATATTGTCCAACCTAAAATTTGAACATAACTAAAAAGGATGGGTGAAACCGAAAAGTTAAAACAGGCCAGTGTTTGAACCACCGATACTAGAGACCGTGGGCTGACGCGGTACCCCGGAGCCACGGAGACATCTGGTGGGGCGGCGCTCGACAACTCTACTTGAGTGACTAAGCCCCCCGAGGGCCCGGGGTTATCCCCATCCTCGGAATACCCACGTCCCACGTGTAAGGGGACCTTCGGGCTCGCCTTCGGGCCGCGCTCGGCGAGGGGGACTTCGGGCGCGCTCGGAAGGGGACCTGCGCCGCGCCGATTTGTGGTTCCCTAACCGTTCCTCCTCAACGGGCCTCGTGCCCAAAGGGGCGTTAGCTTGTTGTAAACTTACTTTCGCTTTATTTTCGTTTTGACTCATTTTTTTTTGAGGCTGATTGTACTCCGGGCAGGCCGAGGGCCGAGGCAGGCGCAACAACCCGAGGACGCGTGCGCGGCCGTGAGTGCTACTGGAGTGGAGAGTGTCCCTCGAGGACAAACGGGCAGGGCGGCAGGGCGGCAGGGGTTCCAGACACTTCCCTTGAGTCCCTTCGTCAGTGGAGAAAACCATGCGGTCCAACCAAGGACCACTTTAGGGAAGGGTCTAGATCCCCTTCCCTGTGCGTTCACCGCCCGCCCTCCACCCCGCCCCGCCCCGCCCACCCCGCCCCTCCCGCGGCTCGTCTCCAGCCAGCCCGGCCGACGAGCTCTTTATAACGTGCGGCCGCGCCGGCACACTCCAGTCTGTGTTGGCCGAGTTCACAGCGCCGTCACCCACACGCCTACCGTGAGTACCCGCCAGCCAGCAGGTCGCCGTCGTGGACCGCCTCGCGTCCAGGCTCCCGTTTCGTTGAAGCCAACGCGGCACGCGGTGCGTCCCTTTTCGAGCCGATGTCACGTGACGAGGGCAAGGGCTCGAAGCCGTTCGCGATCTCGCGATCTCGCGATCTCGCACGACGCGCACGACCTCGGCGGCCATGGGAGCAGCGCGGCAGAGCAGCGGCGTGTAGTCCCGTGGGAAAGCCTTAAGACCAAAGCCCGCGCGCTGGCCGAGGCGATGAACTCCGCGAGGCCGACGGCAAGGCCGACTCTGAAGCCGGGGCAGAGGCCGACGCCGAGGCCGACGCATCATTGCTCCGTCTGACCTGCGCGTTGTTCCTGTTGCAGAAAATGATGACCAAGACCGTCGTTGGGCTGTGCCTCGTGGCCGCCCTGTGCCTCGGCTTCTCCTCCGCCGCCACCTTCGACGGCGTGGACGTCGCCGCCCTCCTCAAGAACGACACGGCTGTGCAGTCCTACGTCAAGTCAGCGGGTGGAAACTCGCTAGGTGGGGCTGGGACCGGGTCGGGATCGGTCCGCTCGGGGCGCCACGGCCAGCAGACGAACTTGTCGCCCCGCATCGGTACCTTATTTTAAAGAAATGTACCCTAAATCGAAACATTTGGAGTCATATTCGGGTATCAAAATCAAGGTCATTGTCTAAAGAATGCATCTGAAGCATAGTTTTCTCTTTATAATCGAAATAGAAATAAGGGAGGTGATGAAAATGCGATGGCTCGGTCGCGGGAAACGCTACCACCAGATTTTGTAACACTTAGTTTTCAATGTTAGAGCCCTCGGAGGCCATACATGTAAGCGAGCCGATTTTTCCTTACAAAATTTCGCTCGGCGTAGGATACATTTCCTTTTGATTGGACTCACCTTGCAAGAAATATCCCACATAATAGTTGATGCGACGGAATGGTGTCTGCTTGTACTTCTCACTTCAACTCGATAAATAGAATACAAACCACTCGAATCAAAGCTGCATATCTGGCCTAATGCACGGCAAATTTAATGTAGATTCATTTTGCACACGCGGCTTTGGGAAATAAGGTCGGATTTCTTTACATTAAGTGGATTAAAAACACCAGACGCAAAGAGGCTGAAATGACCACTTTTACGGTCTCTACTAATGTGAGAAATCCGACCCGTCTAGACACACGCGAGTTCTTGAGAACAAATCTTCAAACATGCCGTCGTGCATTTTGTTTAAAGGTTTTCGCACGAAACTAACCTCAAATTATACAATATGAATTCTAAAATACTGCAGCGTCAAACACCGTTGAAAGCGTCGTCGGCCCGTGTCGTCTGGACCGGAGGACGGGACAGACTATGGCAAATTCACCGCTCGGCACCGTTTGTTTACTTTTCACAGTTCCACGATTGGGCATTGCATTTGGTTGATTTTGAGAGCATGGATTCTCCTCAGGAGGTTAGTGTGGAAGTCAATGAAAGCAACACGCGCTACCCGAGCAGCCAACATGTCGGCAGGTGCAACTGTCACAAAATGGAAACAAAACTGTGCCGAGCGGTGAATTTGCCATAGTCTGTCCCGTCCTCCGGTCCAGACGACACGGGCCGACGACGCTTTCAACGGTGTTTGACGCTGCAGTATTTTAGAATTCATATTGTATAATTTGAGGTTAGTTTCGTGCGAAAACCTTTAAACAAAATGCACGACGGCATGTTTGAAGATTTGTTCTCAAGAACTCGCGTGTGTCTAGACGGGTCGGATTTCTCACATTAGTAGAGACCGTAAAAGTGGTCATTTCAGCCTCTTTGCGTCTGGTGTTTTTAATCCACTTAATGTAAAGAAATCCGACCTTATTTCCCAAAGCCGCGTGTGCAAAATGAATCTACATTAAATTTGCCGTGCATTAGGCCAGATATGCAGCTTTGATTCGAGTGGTTTGTATTCTATTTATCGAGTTGAAGTGAGAAGTACAAGCAGACACCATTCCGTCGCATCAACTATTATGTGGGATATTTCTTGCAAGGTGAGTCCAATCAAAAGGAAATGTATCCTACGCCGAGCGAAATTTTGTAAGGAAAAATCGGCTCGCTTACATGTATGGCCTCCGAGGGCTCTAACATTGAAAACTAAGTGTTACAAAATCTGGTGGTAGCGTTTCCCGCGACCGAGCCATCGCATTTTCATCACCTCCCTTATTTCTATTTCGATTATAAAGAGAAAACTATGCTTCAGATGCATTCTTTAGACAATGACCTTGATTTTGATACCCGAATATGACTCCAAATGTTTCGATTTAGGGTACATTTCTTTAAAATAAGGTACCGATGCGGGGCGACAAGTTCGTCTGCTGGCCGTGGCGCCCCGAGCGGACCGATCCCGTCCCGGTCCCAGCCCCACCTAGCGAGTTTCCACCCGCTGGTCAAGTGCATCCTCGGCACCGGCGAGTGCAGCGAGTCCGCCAAGCGCCTCCAGGGTGAGTAGCCGTTGGTAGCGCAGTGGTCGGCGTGCTCGCCGGCGGGCTGGGAGGCGCGGGTCTCCTGGCCTCTGGCCGTCACCTTGAGGCCGCCCTCCGTTTGCAGTGCAGTGTGCACGTGTTGACCGAGTCTGTGCGGTGCGCTATCTCAGTCCGGAAGGAGGTTTGCTTTAATTTTGTCCGAGTGGCTATCGCCACGTCGCTGACCAGCCCCTGGCTGGGCTGGGCCCGAGGGGCAAACAACTTCGTCAAAATTTGTACACCGTTATTTCAAATTCACGTTATTTCACATTATTTCATTGTTATTCCAACGTTATTTCAAGGGTATTTCAACGTTATTTCGTGTTATTTCGTGTTATTTCACGTTATTTCGCGCTATTTCACCGTTATTTCACGCTATTTCACGCTTATTTTGGCGTTATTTCAACGTTATTTCACCGTTATTTCACGTTATTTCACCGTTATTTCACGGAAAATGTACACCTAAATTCAAGTTGTTTGCCCCTCGGCTGGGCCGGGCTGTTTGGCTGGTTTGGTTCGGCGTAATCTGCCGCATCATCGGCAAACGCCAAAAGCCGATCGCGCCCTCGGCCGCCTCGCTCTTTTTTTCCTCTTCGGCGAACTGCAGGCCGATTCCGAGCACTGCTCTTGGTGCACTGTCTCTCTCGCACTCGCGGAGCGTCCCGTCGGTCCCGTCAGGGTGCGAGAGATTCAACCTACCCGACTTCCAACTCGTCCAAAACATAAACAAAACGCCGTTGGTCGTTGTTGCAGCCATCGTCCCCAACGCCCTGCAGCAGAAGTGCTCCCAGTGCACCGAGCAGCAGAAGATCATCATCGGCACCATCGTCGCCAAGATGCAGAAGAGCTTCCCCGCCGACTGGGAGAAACTCCTCCAGAAGTACGACCCCGAAAAGAAGCACCGCGAGAACATCCTCGCCCTGGCCAAGGCCGTGCCCACCGGTCTGCCCGCCACCACCCCCAAGCCCAAGTAAGGCGCCACGCCCTACGACGCGCAGCACCACCAGCACCGCCAGCAACGCCGCCAGCGGAGTCAACCCGGCCACCTCACTCCCGGTGACGCGACGCGGTGACGCGGTGACGCAGCGCGGTGTCACTTGGGTGTCACTCGGGTGTCATCTGGGTGTCGCTTGGGTGTCGCTGCGGCGCCACCGTCACTTCCAAGCCAAATAAGAGGTTGCCACTCCCGGGGGCTGCGGCCGGCCTCAGGACGCCTCAGGACTGCAACAACAACACGGGTACGCGTCCAAGTTCCGCCCGGATCCGACACCACCTGGAGCCGGACCCCGAGAACCTGGACGCCCATCGAACCACACGGACCTACGAGTATCACGCATGGATGTCACACATCATGAGAAATAAAAAAAAATTCGCTTGAATTCCTCTGCTATGCATTATAGACAGTTGGTCGTGATTTTTCACTCGCCCCCTCACCACCACTTGTCCAAAATGGAAACAAACTGGAAGGAAACCCATGACGCGATTCAAACTCGAGTGCAGATAAGTTTAGATTGCAAAATGCATTGCGAGATAGGGGACGGAGCAGTGCAGGAAAAACTGCGCTCCGGTCCGAAAATAAACAGTTCATGGCTGACTCGGACACAATACGGAGTGCGTAAAAAATCAAAGGAAAATAAACTTTTTAAAAATAAATCAAAGTGGAGAGTGCAAATCAGAAAAATGTTTTGTGTTCTTTCTAACGCTTCATTCAAACGAGTGGTCGGTCAAAGTGACAGAATTTTCGAGACGGAGCGCACCAGGGGTCCAAGGGCCTCCCACTTAAACAATCAGTGTTTGCTGAGAGGACACAATCACTCGATCTTGCGTCAGAAACTTCTGCAAGGAGGCAAAGAGCGCGACAAAATCAAACAGAATCCCAACCAATCCGACACAGCCAAACATTATCCCGCGCAGCAAAATTCTGAGTGAGAGACCCCTAGGAGCGAACGGCAGTGTCTGAAGCCTTGGGGTCTGGGGCGGCAGTAGGCCGGCAGAATACCTGCATCGCTCCGATATCTATCTTCTAGATAGGGAAAAGCGCAAACCCCGATGATGGTTTATCACACACAAGGGGCACAGCAATTACAGGCAATAATTTGGCGTGACGCTCTGATTGTTTGCGACGCCCTCCCCTTGCACCCCCACCGTAATGAGGTGCTCGAGGTGATGGAGTGCCTTGTTGGTGATTCGCGCCTTATCGGGGCACGTGGAGACTGCGTCGCTCTGTCTCCGCACCCATCCGGGACGCCGCACGAGTGCGAGGATGACAGAGCGACGAAAGCGACTCTCGGAATCAATCTGGCGGCGGCCTATTAAAGGGCGCGGACCCGGGCGGCAGTGACCAGTCAAGTGAGCCGCGCCATGTCGCCACTGACCGTGCTGTTGTACACCTGCGCCCTGGCGGCGGCCGTTCACGGTGAGTGCGGGCGCGCTGTCTCTCTCGCACTCACAGGGCGTCCCGTGTGAGTGCGAGAGAGACAGCGCGACGAACGCCCGGAGGAATCGGATGGGGGAAACGATAGGGGGTGTTTTCGCGTTTTTCGTCCAGCCCAGCTGAGTTAAAATAAGGGATGCTGGTGTTTGCAGGCGCCGCCTTCAAGGAGGTGAGGCTGGGCGGGGCCGTCGTGGACCAGACCGCCGCCATGTTCGCCCCCGTGCCCACGGGGCTGGGCGTGCAGCGCTCCGACCTGGAGGAGGAGATCGTGGGCGGCGAGGACGCCAAGCTGGGCCAGTTCCCGCACCAGGCGTCCATGCAGGTCACCATGCCCGGCTCCTGGTGGTGGGACGCCGCGCCGCAGCACCTCTGCGGCGGCACCCTCATCGCCCAGGGCTGGGTGCTGACGGCCGCGCACTGCGCCTACGGCGTGCCCAACAACGCCAGGAAGGTGGAGGTGGTGCTGGGCATCGACAACCTGGCCCGCGAGGCCAGCGGCAAGCAGCGCATCCTCGTCACCAAGATGCTGGTGCACGCGCAGTACCAGCACAACGTCAACGGCGGCGTCGGCCCCTACGACATCGCCCTGCTCAAGCTGGCCCAGCCCGCCAGGCTCACGGCCAACATCAAGCTGGCCGTGCTGCCCAGCGCCGGCGCCCTCGCTTCCGGTCGGTACACCGTGTCCGCGGAGACGCGCAGCGCGCAGTGATGGACTAGCCAACCTAACCCGTCCTTACGGTGTCTGGCCCCGCAGGCGACGCCGTTCTCTCCGGCTGGGGCAGCACCAGCCAGGACGGCGACCACCCCGTGTACCCTAACCAGCTGCAGACGGCGACCTTCCCCATCGTCGAGTACAACGCCTGCAACGCCTTCGTGAGCAACCTGGACGGCCCCGAGAACAACCCCCTGGCCGACACCAACCTGTGCGTCGGCCCCCTGGACCGCACCGGCCTCTCCTCCTGCAGTGTAAGTCCAGCGGGCGTCGCCAGCCGAGCCATTCCGAGGAGTCGACTAGTCGCTCCGTCTCCGTCTCTTACGGGGTGCGTGAGGGGTGCGTGAGGGGTGCGACGGAGACAACCGACTCCTCGAAATCACTCGGTGCCGTGCTCGGCCGAGGTGACCGCCACTCTGCACTCACATTCCGAGAGTCGTTTTCGTCGCTCTGTCTCTCTCGCACCCATACGGGACGCCGCATGAGTGCGAGAGAGACAGAGCGACGACTCTGCCGCTCCGCTCTGCGTTTCTTCATTGCCATTTCCGGTTCGCGATGCGCAGGGCGACAGCGGCGGCCCGCTGGTCCAGCAGGACGCCAACGGCCAGGCCGTCGTCATCGGCGTCGTGTCCTGGGGCCTCAAGAACTGCGGCAGCGTCCCCTTCCCCTCCGTCTTCACCCGCACCTCGGCCTACGTCGACTGGATCCAGGCCGTCCAGCAGCAGAACGCCGGCGTCGCGGCCACCGCCTTGTGAATTGTATTTCGCAAAACAGGAGAAAAATAAACACAAAAAATTAATTTAACGCATGCAATAAAATGGTTTTGATTGTTCCATCGGCTCCGCGCCGCAGCCACCGCTTTGTAAACTGTTTTTTCCCCAAAGGAAAAAAACACAAAAAATGAATTTAACGCGCATAATAAAATGATTTTGATTGTTTCATCGGTTCCGCTGCGTCGACGCCAGCCTTGGAAGGCGTGAGATAAAACCAACACGCGACACCCATTATTTGAATGGAGATAAACACTCCGGCGGACCCAGGCCGGATTAAAAAGCGCGCGCATTATGCATCGGCGCGGGAACGGTGCGTCTGCGCACTCGCACTCTCGGAACCAGCCTGCCGACAGTGCATGGGCAGGAGCAGACCCAGGTTGAAAGTTACACTGGTAAAACAACGGAAATCATTTTCTGCCTCTGGAAGGGCATTGTGAAATTATGCCTGAAATTCCTATACCAGTTCACGCCGTTCCCTGGCAGAGGCCTACAGTGCACCACCCCCTGCACGTCAAGGGAGCGCCCGGCGGAGGCCGGGTAGGCCACCCACCAGGCACGCGAGTTGTTTTCTGGCCGATGCTGCGTTCGCAGGCGCTAGCAAGCGCTGGCAAGTGCTCGGCGTGACGGGCCTGCCTCGCCACGCGTCGCGCGTCGCCCGTTGACGCAGAGCGGCAGCAGACCGATTCCGGGAGTCGCTGTCGTCGCTCTGTCTCTCTCGCACTCATGGGCCGTCCCGAGTACGTGCGAGAGAGACAGAGCGACGAAGACGACTCTCGGAATCGGTCCGCAGAATGACTCCTATGCGCTCTGAAGTGAGCGCGCCGTGGGGGTTCTTTTCTATCAATAATCGAGTCGAGATAAAGCATAAAGCTGTGTTTTCCGTGGACGGACGTCAGCAGTGCTGCATGATCATCGAAAAGGTTGGAGAGCCCTCGGATTTGCCAGCGTGCTGACCGGATCAAGGGCTGCCAACTCAACGAGCCACAAGCTTCAAGAAGCAAACAAGGAACACGCCACCGAATTTACAGGCCAGCAGACTGATTCCGAGGGGCGTTCTCATCGCTCTGTCTCTCTCGCACTCATGGGGCGTCCCGCGTCGGTGCGAGGGAGACAGAGCGACGAAAACGACTGTCGGAATGAGTCCGCAGGTCCGGTAGCTCCGGTTCCACCATCTTCATTCTGAGCCAGGTGGTGGTGACACGAGCGTGGTTTACAGTGCCGGGGGTTGGTCGGACGAACGGCAGCCACGGGCTGATCATTCAGTTACACTGTAAAATGACGCGTCCCGCGGCCTGCGTCACGCCGTGAGGTGGGGCTTAATCTCTCGAGAGCCGTGCAATGTTTTAGATAAGGGCTCCCGTTGACGGGGCTAATTGGAGGTTCTAGGAAAGGGAGGGGAAGAGGGAGGGACGGTGACGACGACGACGATGTGTGGCGATGCATAGGGACAAAGGGACTACCGTTCTCATCCTCGGTTTGGCTATCGGCAAGTCCGAGCGGCCCTTCATATTTGACACAGGGTACTCGTTTGGCCAGCGAGGAGCGAGGGGCTCCCTGATAGCGGAAGGCAGGCGCTCACTCACACCGCCACACTTTGAAGGCGCTCCATTCCCCGCCATGGCGCCGAGCCGCAGCGTCGTCGCCGTCCTCGCCCTGTGCGCCGCCCTGGCCAGCGCCAGCCCCGCCCGGGGTGAGTCCGCGCTCCACCCGCTCGGCGGCGCCCCACAGTGGGCCAGAAGACCGGCCGCGAAAGAAAGGTATCGCTGTTAGTTTTAGAGTGACTAAAAGGAAAGCTGACTGCCGCAGATGGGCTGGTCAAGGAGGTGGGCGTCAAGTCCTCCCAGAACCGATACGCTACGTTCCCCATCCCCCTGGGCGTGGAGCGCGCCGACAGCGACGGCGTGAACCTTCAGATCGTCGGCGGCCAGGACGCGAAGCTGGGCCAGTTCCCGCACCAGGCCTCCATGCAGGTGAGCGGACTGGGATGCACACTGTCAAACAGTTTGCCAAGTGTTTCGTTTCGCGAAGAATCGCTATGTAAGTGCTGCAGTATTTTCTTTGCAATGCAAGAGTGCAGACCGCCAGTCGAAAATTAGCCCGCGTTTTGAGCTAGAGTCACTAAATGGGACTCGAACCGAACGTGTGACCCCACCAATGGATTGCTCTCCGAACGAGGAGTCCATTGGTGGGGTCACACGTTCGGTTCGAGTCCTACTTCGCGACTCTGGAGCTCAAAACGCGTCTAGAGTTTTGTCCGCCTGCGCTGGTCTTCTGGCAGGTCCGCTGTGGGTGCTCGGCGCTTCGCCAAACGGCCCCAATTACCGCGGCGTCAGTTTATCGAGAGATAAGCCGCGATCTAAGCCGCCGCGGCTAAGCCGGCCGCAGTCCCGGCTAGACCCGCCAAGTCCTGCGAGCCGCGCGCCAAGTCGCCGACGGCCGAGTGGACGCGGCGACGTGGCGACGGACTCGTAGAGCTAGATAATGAACACCTCCAACACGCGGGTCCACAAATTGGGAGGGTGGGCCTGGAGACGGGTTCATCAGGGGCAGAGGGGATGGCGAACGTGCAACTGCCTTTCAGGTGGCTTCGAGGCCTGCAAAAAAAAAAAAAGCTCAATTGGATCCGCACCGCCGCTTCATCAATTATCGCTTTTGGTGGACCTTACTGACCGCCACGTGACACTAACCCTCGCGCCGTCTGCTGCACTGCTTTTCAGGTGACGATCCCAAGCCCCTACATGATCAAGTCGCAGCCGCAGCACCTCTGCGGGGGCTCCCTGATCGCCAGGGGCTGGGTGATGACGGCCGCGCACTGCGTCTACGGCGTGCCCAACCGCGCCACCAAGGTGGAGGTGGTGCTGGGCATCGACAACCTGGCCGTCAAGGCGGCGGGCTCGCAGCGCATCGCGGTGGAGCGCATGCTGGTGCACGCCAAGTACGACCACTACGGCAACAACGGCGTCGGCCCCTACGACATCGCCCTGCTCAAGCTGGCGCGCCCCGCCACGCTGTCCGACACCGTCAAGCTGGTCGCGCTCCCCGCCCAGGCCGCGCCCGCGGAGTCAGGTAACGCACGGAGCGGAGGGGTGGGGGAGGGTGGAGGCACGCGATGGGGTCTTTACTGAACTGGCCGCTGGTCGCCGCCCGCAGGTACCGCCACGCTCTCCGGCTGGGGTAGCACCAGCATGGACGGCCTCCACCCCGTGTACCCCAACCAGCTGCAGATGGCCGAGTTCCCCGTCGTCTCCCACGACGAGTGCGTGGCCTTCGTCAAGGCGATAAAGGACGGCGGCAAGGAAATGGCGAACCTCATCATGGACTCCAACCTGTGCGTCGGCCCGCTGGACAGGGACGGCCTGTCCTCGTGCAGTGTGAGTACTTTACAGTGGCGACGGTGAGGACGGCGAGGACGCAGCCGCCGCGGCCTCCTTGGCGGCCTCCTCCTTGGCGACGGCCTCCTTGTGGGCAAGGCCGCTGACCGATGGCTTGTTACAGGGGGACAGCGGCGGCCCGCTCATCCAGGGCGGCCAGGACGGCAGCACCCCCACCGTCGTCGGCATCACCTCCTGGGGACTGACCAACTGCGGCTCCATCCCCTTCCCGTCCATCTTCACCCGCGTCCACAGCTACCTCACCTGGATCGCCAGGGTCCAGGCCGCGTACTAGTGCCGTGCCCCGTGCCTCGAGGAGTCTCAATAAATTGATTTACGGACCAGCACTGCTTTCAGTCTCCCATTCCGCCGTCAAACGCGTTTTTTGAGACGAGCCCTGCAGCCGAGAGCGCAAAGACGTCGTCCCGACCCAACCCCGACCGGTGGATGCGGCCAAAATCCCGAACGCGTTTTGAGCTCCAGAGTCGCTAGATGTGACTAGAACCGAACGTGTGAGTGTGTGACCCTGAGTGCGATTCGAGCCTGTCTGCAAGCAGCGCGCTCTAGAACGCCTCGGTCTCTGGAAACCTTCATCACATTTACACTGTAGGGGTGGGTCGAAAAAATACAAACCAGATTCAGTTCTTAGATTTTATTAAAATTTTATAACTGTCAAAGAAATAAAATTATACAACATATAAAATTTTTCTCTATTTACAAAACTCAATATGAGTCAAACTGAAAATAAATGCCTGTCAATTTGGATGAAATGGGAAAATTGCATTTATAGATATATACAATAAGTACAAAGTCTCTAATCTCGTTGTAAGGCGTGAAAGGCGTTTAACACTACACATGAAAATGAACAAAAGGGTTTATTCTTTCTACTATTGTAAATGAATACGAAACATGATTGCCTATCATTTGGTTATTTGATGAAAATAGAAGCCAACTGGCTTTAGTCATTCCAGATTAGTTCTTAGAGAGCTACTTACCTACATACTTAAATATCACAATATTATGGAAATAAATTAATTGAAGGAAATTGTTTTGTACTCTCTCAGTAGACAGTATTAACACAAAAGTAATCTAACATGACAATGAGAATTGTTACAGTTCAAGAGCTGCTTATGAGGGTAAAACGGTCTGCACCTAGAACTACCACAATAAAATTTCTGAAAAAAAAAAAAAATGCCTGAAGAAGTAACATTTGCCAGTTGCCACGTAACCTCTTCATAGATCTGTTTTGATCTCACGATTCTTATTTACACAGAAAACAACATACATGTACAACCAGGAATGAAAAATCAGTAAAAGTCAATGATAAACATGAATGCAATTTTACATGGATCCCTAAGACCTAAATATCCTTACAATGGCGTATACTGGACATTGGCACATGTGTGTCACAGTCAATTGTTAATAAGTCACTATATTTCTGATCATGGTATGACCAAACGTCACAAAAGTAAAACAAAAAATTACTCCCATCTTATCATTTGCATCAGCCACATGCACACACATGATCTTATAACTTTCATATTCCTACAATGGCAAACATTTAACAAAAATAATGTCAACAGTCTAACAATTAATAATAATAATAAAATACGGGACTAGACAGTAGGGGGCTGCCACTATCAATGGAACACATTAACACTATGGTGAGCAAAGAGAAAGATAAAGACTGATGGTTTAAAACTAATGTCAAGATTGATAAGGTAAAAAGTATTGAAAATAAAATATAGATTTTGAAATTGTCTTGAAATGAAGAGAACATGCATCACAGAAAAAATACTATGTAATGCACATTAACCACATACAGCCACAGAATCAATTACAAGAAAACAAAATATCTTTTATCAGCTGTTGTTTAACAGACAGCATGATGAAATATATGTACCTCAAGTCTTTTCTGGATTGGATGCTAAAAATCCTGTAGCCCAATAACTTATGTAGTTTACCTTCAGTATCACATAAGTTCAACAACTATGTTTAGCAGAATAAGGCAGTCATGAAGCCAGCACTGACTGCCTCTGTTTCCATCAACAATTAATAATATCACTAAAGTTTCCAGTCTTTTCAGTGATTTCTTATTAGATGTATGATTTAAAAAAAAAAAACTCAACATACTTACAGAGCTTCTTTGAACTTGTTTCTGAGCATCAACATCAGTGGCAGCTAATAAAACTTTTCCTGTTCCAGATCAGGCCGAACGTTTCCATTATGGCTATTTCGTTTTAATGTTGAGCTTTCATAATCAACTGGTTTAGAGAACAACTTTGGCGTGGGATGATTTAGAGAATTACGATTCAGTGAGTTGCAATTTACCATTGGCTTGTGTGAAACATTGCTAGTGGCTGATGAAAATGATGCAGTGCGTTTAGGTTTTTGACTAATTGCTTCCTTTAAGGGAACTGTTACATAAGGGTTCTGCTTGGTAGACATGTAGCAAGGACTACTAGGTATGTGAGGAATATGCTTACGCTTCTGATAATACCAGACAGCGGCTGCACACAACACGCCTAAAATGAAGCCCGCACAACAGCAACCTAAGATAGTCCAAACTGATAAATACCCAACAGTCTGCGAGTCTAATTGCTTGGCAGGAAGAATGTTGATATCTGGAACCAGAGAGAAGTTACCCATAAGACAGAGCCCTATAAGGGTGCCTGGAAAAATATCCTGTAATGACAGGTTGTTACTTACCGTTCCGTAATCCGCCCAGGCACATTCTTGTTTCGAAGTCATGGCCCTGGCAGGCATTCGGGCCTGGCATTGCACATTTGCGTCTTCTATGTTGATCGCCATTCTCATCACATTCAGACCAAACAGTCCATGGACTCCAACCGACGAGGGCTTAGGAGGAAAACACCACAATAAAAACACCATCCAAGAAAAAGTAAGCAAAAAAATAAAACCCCATTTTAAAAATATTTCCGCTCTTTCAACTACTTACATTCACAACTGGGCGATTCACAAGGCTCCTGGTCGATTGAGGGGCCCTCACAGTTGACGCCCAAGAGCTCCCTGTTGTTGATGCTCAGGCAATGGCGCGTCCGCTGGCGCATCCCGCTGCCACAGGACACCGAGCAGGGGGTCCATTCGCTCCAACAGGACCATTCGCCTGGAATAGAGTCAATTCATCAGAAAACTTTACCAACAGTAAATTGAACTCTTCTCTCTGCAGTGGACGTTGCAGGCTGCTAGAGACTGGTGGGACGTGGGGAGGCAGGCCGAGACAGGCTTACCTTTGCAGCGGTGCATGTTGCAGGGGCGGGACATCTTGGGGGAGCCCTCGCAGTCCTCGGTGGAGCCCTCGCACGTCCGCGTCCTGGTCTGGTGGCCGCCCCCGCACTCGACGGAGCAGGCCGACCACTCGGACCAGTCGGACCACACGTCGTCCGAGTCCACGCGATCTGCGGCACACCAACAAGGCCATCATCAGCCACGGCCCTCATGGGGCGTCCCGCACAAGTGCGGGAAGGACAGAGGGAAGAGACCTACCGGACTTGCAGCCGTTGACGCTGCAGATCCTCTTCTCCTCCTTGGACTGCGTGACGCGCATGGTGGCCGCGTCGGCCGTCTGCGCGCGGCAGGCGAAGCGGAAGCGCTTCTCCGTCCACGTGCCGCCCCAGTTGGCGTTGCCGGGGCCGGGCGTGGCCTCGGACAGCCAGGGCGTCCAGGCCGACAGCTTGCGGCTCTCGGGGCAGGGGTGCGCGTTGCAGGGCTCGTAGTCCAGCGGGCAGCCCTGGCACTCGGCGCCGCCGTGCGCCGGCAGGGGGCTGTCGCACACGCGGCGCCGCACGCGGAAGCCGCCGCCGCACTGCGCCGTGCAGTCCGCCCACGCGCCCCACGCGCCCCAGCCGCCGTCCTGCGGCGGGGGGAGCTTGGCTGCGGGCAGGGCAGAGAGGACCAGTCAGACGCCGACGATAACCAAGAGGGTGGCGGTGGTGAAGCCAAGCCACAGCTAGAACCCTCACCTGGGCAGGGCGGGTTGGACGTGCAGTAAATCTCGCTGCGGTCCTCGCCCACGCAGATGCGGCCGCCGTGCGCGGGCTTGGGGTTGCCGCACGAGCGCGTGCGCGTCTTGACGGCCAGGCCGCACGTCTGGGAGCACGCCGACCAGGCCGACCAGGGCGTCCAGCCGCCGTGCACGGTGCAGTTGGTGACGGCCGTGGCCTCGCCGTGGCACGGCATGCCGCCGTTGGCCGGCGCCGGGTTGTCACAGCGCCTGGAGCGGCACAGGCAGGCCGAGTCCGAGTCCGCAGCGTCCGAGTCGCCCACCACGGGGCACGGCGCCCAGGACGACCACGCCGACCAGCCGCCGTCCACTGCAACAATCCGCGAGTTAGACGCGCCAGGATAAAAAACCAAAAGTTGACGTACGCCGGTATTCGAACCCCAGCCCGCAAACGCACCGATCTCCTCGCGAGCCGAGCGGTCCGGGCAGGCGAGCGGCAGCTGCTGCCAGTGGGCGACGCTGGGGTCGCGGTTGGGCGCGGGCGTGCAGTTCTCGTGGAGCTCGCTCCAGCCGCAGTACGGGTCCATGGCGGCCAGGCACGTGCTGCGCGTCTTGTAGCGGCCACAGTGCGCGCCGGGGATGCGCATCACGCCCTGCTCGGTGCCCACGTACAGCGACTCGGTCTCGCGCAGGAACTGCATCTTGCGGTAGCGCGGCGCCGAGGTCGCGCCGCCCGCGCCGCCCGCGCCGACAGGGAACGGCTGCCACAGCTCCAGCACGCACGTCTGCTGCGTGCCGGGCAGCACCGACATCTTCTTGATGATGCCCTCCTCGGTGGCGGCGTACACCACGTGCACGCCGGGGTGGTGCTTGGTGGGCACCACGTCCACGGCCACCAGGCCCAGCGTCTCCAGGCGCCGGTGGTACAGCGGCAGCAGCGCCGTGGGCTGGATGGCGTTGTCCATGAGCTGGTAGCGCGACGAGTCCTGCATGGAGTGCGCCGAGCGCGGGTCCGGCTGCACCTTCTCGCAGTCGAAGTGGCGCGTGCCCAGGGACGACGTCTGCGCCTCCCACGCCGACGACGAGTGGCCCTGGTACTTGAAGGGCCCTGCGAACGCCTTCAGGATGGACGTCATGTTGAAGGCGCACACGGCCGTGGCGGGGATGCTGTTCCTGCGGGGCGGAAAACCGTCGGTCAAACTCCGACCCGAGAAGACAGTCTATGTACTTCGAGCAGAGCTGCGCTCCCGCGCTGGTGTTTCTTTTCCTCACCTGGAGGTGGTGAAGGTGGCGTACAGGATCTTGTGGTTGTCCACCAGGGACATGTCCTGGATCTCGTCGAAGTAGAAGGGGTACTCGCCGGGCAGCGAGCAGTTGAGGCGCGCCTTGACGAACGTCGTCCACGTGTCCTTGAGGATCACCGAGCCGCCGACGTCATTCTTGCATATGCGTCCGATGCGAGAGTACACCGCCTGCCGGGCACGGCGTAGAAAAACCGGTCAAAAACAACAACAAAAGCCTCGACAAACAACAAGGCAAACACGCCGCGGCCCTCGGTGTTTACCTTGCCGCAGTTCATGTACTCGACGGCGTTCTCCCGGAACACGAAGTAGACGTGCGACTCGGTCTCGAAGGAGCCGACGAACTGCGGGTCGTTGAACCACTTGCTGTCGTACTGGTTGGAGCGCAGCAGCGGCGCCGTGCCGAAGCTCCGGACGAGGGCCGCGTCCGTGCCGCTGAAGTCGATGGTGCTGGCCACGTAGAACTGCCCCGTCGAGCTGATGAGGGACGTGCTGTTGGTGCGCGGGTTGGGCGGGCACTTGCCCAGCCCGGCCACCTTCTCCAGGACCTTGTTGACGTTCTCCATCTGGGGGAAGAAACACAGCGACGTTCAGAATGAAACTCTTCGCGCGATCGTCCAGTACAGCAGTCTCTCTCGCACTCGTACCTCTCTCCAGGTGCACTGCGGCGAGAAGGCGTTGGTGCCGCAGCTGAAGAGCCTCTTGCCGTTGGTGGCGAGCACCTTGACGTAGTTGTGACAGGCGGCCTCCGACTGCCCCTTGACCTGGCACAGCGTCGCCTTGTCCGTGGGGGCGGGCCAGGGGGCCTTCTCGAGGCGCAGCAGCCCGCGCAGCGACAGCCGGTACAGCGCGTCCCTGCGACAGACAACCAATGCGTCAGACAAAAAAAATAAACGGAACGGCCAAAAAGTGGAAAGGGGCGGTGGGTATTCGAACCCGGGACCACCAAACTCACCTCGCGCCGACGACGACCTGCTCGCGGCCCACGTCGAACAGCAGCTCCGAGAACGAGCCGCTGCCCTTGTCCACGAAGACGTCCGCCTTGGCCATCAAATCTGCGACGGGCAAAAGAAAAGACGGCATGAATAAAACGAATAACAAAACGCCGTGATGGTTTGGCAGCCGAGGCGTTACAGTGTCGGCACGCAGTACGCCCTGCCTGCCCCTTTTTTGGAAACGTGTATTTTTACCCCGTGCCGGTGTCCCGGTGGGCGTGTCGTGTCGAGGACGGACGGGCCGCCGGGCTGCCGTACAAGGCGCCGGGGCTTCAAGTGTGTCCTGGACGTCCTGGACGTCCTGCCGGCCGAGGTCTCTCTGTCTCTATCGCACTCCTGGAGCGTCCCGTACGGGTGTGAGAGAGACAGCCCCCGTTCGGTTGCTGGAGCGAGGAGCAAGGACTGAGAGTGCGGTTGCAGGAATGTCAATACAGGGGGCAGGGCCTGGCACGGCCTGGCACGGCCTGCACAGAATGCTGCTTGTCCTGCTTGCACTTGCACCGCCATACCGCCACGGCACTGCTAGACGTGGCCGACGTCTCGAGCGCGACGAGACTCGCGGAGTCTATCCCAATGTTGTAGCTCGAGGATGAGAATGCGCTTGCGCGCTGCCATTGGTCTGTTTGCATTTCGTTTTCGGCCTGATGAGAGTGGGAGGAGTGGGGAGGCTGTAGCACTTCTTGACCACTTCCATGGCCAAAATGTTGCGTTGTGTCTACCTCCCAGCCAGGGGCAATCGTCCCCCCCTCCCCCTCCACAATCCTCACTCCCCCCACACCGCGCGTGCCACCGTGTCCCTCATTACGACGTGACGCCGTGGCTGCAGCTGGGGCACGCCACGCCACGCCGCGGGGGCACGTGGCTCGCGCGTCCCGGACCTCCCCCTTCGGGAACCCTATTCTTACCTCGCACCGCCACGCCCCACCTTCCTACGCACCACGCGCACACACACACAGAAGTGCAGCTGCAAGGCCAAGGGCTGCTCCGGTGCAAATCAATCGCAGTGCCGAAACAGAGACACTCATCGCCGTCGGCCACACCCCTTCCTTCGGCCCCTTCTCCCCCGCGCCGCCCAGCCGACTGACTCCGAGAGTCGTTTCCGTCGCTCTCGGAGTCAGTGGGCTGGTCGGGCAGTGCAGGACGCAGGACGCGGCACGTCCTGGAGGAGGAGGGCCTCCTGGCTGCACGCTCCGGACCGTCTCCACCTTCACCGCGACGCCCCCCGCCCTGCCGCTCCCTCTCTCTTCCCCTTTCGCCGCGCGGTGCGACGTCCTGGTCGTCCTGGCGGTGGAGGGGGGAGCGGCGCGCGTCCCTCGCCGCTCGCCGGGCAGGCAGGAGAGAGGGGGAAAAGTGAAGGGCGATCTGGGGTGTGCTGGCCGCTTCCCTGATGCGCGCGCTGGCCGCCAGGCGGGCAGAGCCGCGAGGAGGTGGCCGCGTGGCAGCGACGCGGCGGCTTGGGCCCGGCACGCCATGGGCCCGGCACGCCATGGGCACGCCCCACGCCCGGCACCGCGACGCCGCCGCCCAGGCCCGACTTGGGCCCCACCGCGGCCCCCTCCCCCTCCCTCTCTCTCCCTCTCCCCGCCGCGCCAGCGCCTTTCTCAATTCCTTCCCCGCGCTTTATTGGCCCGGCCGGCCCTCTAACCACGTGTCAAACGCCCCGCCCCGCCCCGCCCCGCCCCGCCACCAAACGAGCCAGACGCGGCGATACATAAATCCGGAGCCGCCCTTGGAGAAGAGGAGACGGAGACAACCTCCTTGTCGTCCACGCCGCGGCCCGGCCCGGCACAGCGGCAGGGCTTGGCCGGGCTGGGCCCACACAATGCATGCACAACCAGACGTATTTTACAGGCGGGCGTAAATTGGGTCTGCCAGGCCCGCCCTCACTCTCTCCGTCAGCGGCACCTTCGAGTATTATGCGCGCAAGGCGCACGCACACACTCTCGCTCACGCACGCAGACACACACACACACACACACACACACACACACACACACACACACACGCGCGCGCGGACGAACAGCGAGCCTCACCCACACAATGCGATTTTTCTTCTCCTCCTCCCCGCTGCGGCCAAACAAGCCGCGTCGAATGGAATCGAATCGAGGTCGCCTCCTGTGCATTTACCTGCCCGAGAGCACTCCGCGCGCCAAATCGAAAACGGGCAGCGCAGTACGTATGTAGATCGCATTGTACAAGCCGCGGGTGACATCTTGTTCGCCGTGCCGCGCGCAGCACTCAGGCTGCGCGACACTGCAATGGCAGCGCAATTGGTGTACTGACTTGCAGTGTGCCCTCGCGCGGCCGGCACGAGCCTCGCCCCGCGACCGGTGTGGGTGACTCTATAGTACCTTTCCGCGCGGACAAACAACGAAACGCGAAAACGTGTCAACGCGTCCACCATATAGCGGGGCGTGTGCGTGTGTTCAGCGTTCTACGGCTGCTTTCTAGCGCACCTAAGCATATTGTTCGAGGCTTGTAACAGCAGCACACGCAGGCAGGACTGCCCCCTCCCCCTCCCCCTTACCGCAAACACTCACACACACGCACTCACACACACGGCGCTCGTTGTGGTTTGGTCACTTCACCACGCCATAAGGCCCCTGCTAGTGACTCTGCTACTCGAGTCGACAGGCTGCTTTGCCCGGCCAGTGAACTCCCCCCCCTTCCCCCCTCCAACTGCAGTCCGACCGACTGCAGCAGCGCGGCGACGCGCCTCCACCGACGACGGCCTTCCCCCGCGGGGCCCAAGTCCCAACGCCGTGCCTCTTCCTTCAACGCTGCACCATTTTCCCATTTTTAATACTCCGTCGTTGCCGCTCTTTCTGGGCCCTTAAGGGGGAATTCCTTGGGCCGTGACGCGACGCCCTTCCCACCCTCGCCTCGTGTCCGTCACGACGCGCCCGTCACGCGCCTGTCTGTCTGTCTGTCCGTCTGTCTGTCTGTCCGCCTGTCATCGCCGGCGAGCCAATCCAACTCTTTGTTATGACCGTTTATTTTTCCGCCTTCCCCGCGCCCCGCGCCCCACGCCCCTGCCCCACCGCCGGCCGGCGTAAAGTTCACGAGACGTCTCTTCTTGGCGAGGCAGCCCAGAGGATGGAAAATCGAAGACACCCAGAGCCGTTTTCGCCCCATTTTCTCCGCCGTCGTTTCGCTGCTGGACATGGTAATTCTAGTCTCCCCGTTGACAGTTTCATTGCGTCAATTTCTAAATTTTTTTTTGCGACGGCGCTCTGCTCACTCGGTCGGCCGGTCGGGGCTTCCCTGCGCGCGGTTCGCCCAAGCACTTGAGGGCTTGCTTGTCCACCGCCTCATGCAGGCGTAGCGACCCCGCTGATGGTGCCTCCCCCACCCCCTCGATGGCTTCAATGTAGGCCGCTTTTGATGCGCCATACGCCGTGGAGGCCGTGGGTCGGAGCGGGCAGCACTACAGTGCACTACAGTGCAGCAGCAGGGCCAGCGGCCAGCCTCGGCCTCGGACAGCCCATTGGGCCACGCCGGACGGCCGGGACGGACAGTGTATACATGTGCCCCCGGGGCTACACCCGTCGTCTAGGCCCCACATATCACGCGCGCGCGCACACACACACACACACACACACACACACACACACACACACACACACACACACACACACCACGAGGGCAGAGGCGCCATCTCGCCAGACGGCGGCCCGGATGCCCCGCTTATGTGGTTTGGAGATGCATCAGCTCCCAGATTTGTCTGTGTCCACGCGTGTCTGTCCGCCCGCAAAGGGGTGCCTCCCCCCCCCCCTCATGACAGCTGCGTGTGAGGACATCTGCCACGCTTCCGTTCTTCCGGCCTCCAGAAGGGGTTGGCGGCACGGCGGGCACGCGTCGGCATGCCGCCACATTTATGTCCCCCCCCCCCCACACACACACACAACCACGGCGCCGCTCGATTCGACAGAGACAACAACGGCAACAAAAAGCATCCCAAGCAAGGTACAAAACCGCACCAGAAAAGGTAAAAATTTCAGATTTACGCAGTCGCGGTGCCGGGGCGTGGCGGGGCGTGGCGGGGCCGCTGCAGGCACCTGGACAGGTTCAGGGCGGGGCGGGGCGGCTCCCGTGTGCAGGGCAGGGCGTTGCCTCACACTCACACACACACACACTCACACCCCACTCACCTCTCACATGTATAATTTCATTCAAATGGATGGGTTGGGTGTTTCTGATACCAATTCGAGGAAGGAGAAATGAACCGGCGAGAAAAGGCACGAAGGGAGAGAGGGGGGGGGGGCTCTCGTTATCCGGGGGGACCGGAACGGAGGGGGGCTCCTTGAACCCGAAAAAGTGGGGAGGGGGGGGACGGGTGGAGGCAGCAACGGCAACACAGCCGCACCGAGCGGAGCGGGTCCCTGACCGAGTCCAAAATTGATTATTAAAAAAGTAAAAAATGACGAAGTTGAGGCGAGGCGCTTGGGCTGCTGGGGCGGATTGAAAACCGCAAACGCCGACCAGACCAGCCCGCGGTGGGGCGTCCCCGCCGTGCCGGTGGTGCGGGCCCCAGACGGCCCCAGGCCCATTTCGCGCCAGTTTGAGCCAATCAATTCCATCGCCACCGGTAGACTGATTCCGAGAGTCGTCGCTCTGTCTCTCTCGCACCTGTGCGGGCCGCCGAAAGAGTGCGGTAGAGACAGAGCGACGGCTCTCGCGGAATGAGTCTAGACCCAAACTCACCTTGGTACTGGATGGTGGGGGGGTCGTTGAAGGCGGAGGGCGCGGACGGCGCGGTGGAGAACATGGCCTCCGCGTTGAGCGCCAGCGCCGCCAGCGCCAGCAGCGACAGCGCGCGCCGCGCCATGTCCTGCAACAAGGAGTCACATTCAGATTTACATTCACATTCTTAGGGAAACCGGCTGCTGCTGCTGCACTGCCACAAGGGCGTCTCCCTTTTAATTATCATCCTGGCCGGTAAACAAAAACGGGCGTGGCCGCCGAAACCGACGAACCAAACGTCGCGCGGCGCGCAGCGCGAAGCCACGCCAGCAAATAAAAGTGTGATTATGCATACGAAACTGGTCTTTAGCGGAGACATCTCTGGCATTGAGACGCCGGGCGGCAAACCATTTTTCCGAAACATGATTGCCGCGCCATGTGCGGGCCGCGTCGCTCCGTCTCTCTCGCACTCGGGCCGCGGGGCGTGCCGCCGCAGACCGTCGCGGGGGTGCGAGAGAGACGGAGCGAACGGGCCAACCGCGGCGCCGCCACAGTGTTCCACAGTGTGCCACACGCACGGCGACCCGCGGCGAGCGATCGCAGCATCGCGGCTAAAAGCGGATTTCTCATCGCCATGTGGCGTGGCGGCGTGGCGGCGCGCAGACCGATTCCGAGAGTCGCTCTGTCTCTCTCGCACCCCTACGGCCCTACGGGACGCGCCACGAGTGCGAGAGAGACAGAGCGATTCGCTCCGGCTCGTGCTCGCCGGGGAGGCAGGAAAGGGCCTAAATGCGAGGTCATGTGTCTGGCTGGCTGGGCGACAAAGGCCTATGGCACTGCGACGGCCCATTGTATTTAAAATGTGACGCCGAGCCCCCAAACCCTATCCGCCGAGCGGGGCGGGGAGAGGGGAAAAAAAATGCCGTCCACTGTCATCCCAACAGATTTCTAAAGAGATACAAACAAAACATATTTCAAATTTTTCTTCCGCTACATATTTCCGAATCCCCTCTCGAAATTCAACAGGTATTTTTCCTATGAGGATTTACTGCCCGCCTTGCCTCCCTCATGCCGCCCCTGACAGTCTTGACGGTCTTGGCAGCACACTGACGGGGGCCTGGCGTTGTCATTCCCGTCACACAGACTTGGACTTAGCCCCCCCCCCTCCCCGATTCGTAATTCCAAACACACGCCTAACAATGTACGAGTCTATACCAACCCGACCGGTACCCGTCGTCCGCACTGTAAGTACGCATCGGTCCCGCTGGACAAACACCGGAGGGGAAAACAATCCTCCTTTTCGTTTCCGGCTGGGAGCCCTTCCAGTCGCTCCAGCCCTCCTGCCGGTCCTTACACTGGAATAATACAGTGTACCAAAAATCGAAAAACAGCGCGGCAGGCGGTAGCTGCACCGCGACAACCGCCTGGAGCCTGGACTTGGACTGGAACGTGCCTCCGAAATCTAGGACGGACGGAGAGCAGTCTCTCTCGCTCCGGAACTGGGACGCCCCGCGAGTGCGAGAGAGACAGAGCGACGAAAAGGAATGAGTCCGCTGCGACCGCGGCCCAACCCTTTTCCCGGAACGGCATGGCCCCGGAGCGAATAGTGCACGGACGGCGCGGTGCAGTCTTTGACTTGGACTCCCCCAGGAATGCGTCGGTGCGCCGCGCCGCCATGCCGCCGCCTGCAGTGCGTCAGCCGGCGCCACTGTCAAGTCGCTGGAGCCGCGGCTGGAGCCGAGTCGGCCCAATCTGGACGACCGGACTGCAGACTGAGAGTCGTTTTCGTCGCTCTGTCCCTTTCGCACCTACCTAAGAGGACGCCCCACGAGAGCGAGAGAGACAAGCTCGGAATCGGTCTGCCGCTGGAGGCAGTGTCCAAGGCAGTCATAGAATACTGGAACTGGAACTGGGCGGAGGACAACTCCAGCCGCCAGCGCGCACCGCCAATTTCGGTAGCTTGAACGACGTGTGCGTGTGTGCGCGTGTCTGTGTGCCCTGCCGCGTTCCCACTCGTCCGACCGCGAGCCGCAGCAAAGCGTGTCCCGAGAAGCCCGCCGCCGTCAAGACCACGACGACGATGACGGCGACGCGGAGCGCGGGCGAAATCAAAGTCGGGGGAAACAAAACAAACCCGGGCGGCGTCGAACCTCCAACGTCCAGTCTAGTCTCACGACGTCTCACGACCGCGGCGGCTTCTAGGATCGCGGGGTCACGGCGGTTGCCTTATCGACAGGCCACTTTGTGTGGCCGGCGGTCGCCGCTCCGTTTCCCTCGCACTCATGGGGCGCGCCGTGTGGGTGCGAGAGAGATGGAGCGACGCAGTGCCGCGGCGATATCGCGCCGATACCGTCACACAAACACGCTGCAGGCTGATTCCCAACACTCGTCGCTCTGTCTCTCTCGCACTCGTGGCGCGCCCCGTATAGGTGCGAGAGAGACAGAGCGACAGCGCCTTGGAGGAGCACGGCGAGCGCGTAGTATGTAGTGCCGCGTAGTGCACCACGCGGACCTCGCACTCCAACCCCAATCACTTGCCGACCAGTCGCGCTCTCTCTCTCTCTCGCACCTTTACGGGGCGCCCCGTGAGTGCGAGAGAGACGGAGCGACGACAGCGGAGCGGGGAATCAGTCTGCCGGGTGCCAACATTACGTTATGCGCCTTGATGAACCACGCCGGCGAGCTTTTAGCGGTGCGTAGTGAGACTTACGGACCTCGACCCGGAATCACTGCCGGCCAGGGCGGACGGACGGACGGACGGACAGACAGACACACGGATCCTCACTCACCGCACGAATACGAGCTGAGAACAGCGTGTCCGGGCCAACGGGCCGGGCCAACAAGGTGATGGGCCGGACCGGGGGAAAAAATTGGGCCAAAAGTATGGGAAACGGGCAGCAAAACGGGGTACTTGGCGAAGGAGGCCCATTTCCAACCGCGCGCTCTCTCTCTCTCCTTCTCTCTCGCACTCGCGGCGCGTCCCAAAGGAGTGCGAGAGAGAGGGAGAAAGACACAGAGTGGCTGCCGGCCAGGCCACTGCCACACTGCCAGGCCGGTCCGACGAGTCAGTCGTTGCCGGCGATGAACCTCGAGGCCGTAAACATGCAGCACGTACGAATCGGGAAAGGGGTTCGCCCCGCCCCGCCCCGCCACCACACTGCTAATGGTCAAATTATGACGACTCGGCCGCGAGGCTAATGGCGCGGGTTCGACTCCCGCCGCCGCGCATTGCGCGTTTCAAATTTTTATTCCCGACAGGGCAGTCGGGGGCCGAGGCCGGATTATAAACCGCGAGGAAAAACGGACGCGCGGAGCCGATTAAGAAAAAGAGGAAGGAAAAATAATAATAAAGAAATGAGTGTACAAGCAGCGCGGCGGGCAGCTGCTTCAGAGAATCGCCGATTAGAGGCGAAACGATTTATTCTGTCGGATTACCGAGATACAGTCGCAGAACCGACGCGGCCGGCGCGCCTCGCGGGGCCGCGTCCGAGACGGGCGCCCCGGTGCAGCCCTCAGCCCTCTGGGGGGCGTCCGAGGAAAGGCAGGCAGGCAGGCTGCACTCGGACAAGCACTAGAGCCACCACAGCCAGGTGGCGGCCACTGCGGCCGGGCTCGCCGGGGCAGTCCGGCTGCGGCAAGCACTTCGGAGCGCAACGACAGCGAAGCAGCCAGGCTAGCCTAGGCTGGCCGGGCCGGCAATGAATGATGAATCGCAAGGTGAGGCCCCGTCCGCCCATTAACCAAAACGCACAGCGAGGCAGCGAACTTGGCAGCGAATGGCACCCGGGCCCAGCCAGACCCAGCTCGACTCAAGCGGTTGTCCGGGAGCTGCAGTCCACCAACGGTCGCAGCGCAGTCCAGCCTGGAGTCCTGGAGGAGCTCCTGCACTGCAGGGCCTGCAGCACGGCACGGCCGGCCAGACCCGTCCAGCCAGCGTCCAGCCAGCGTCCAGCCTCGGCCAGTTTGACTTGCAAATCGTACCGCGTCATTGTTCTCGGGCGTGAACCAAAGCGGGGATGTCTTTTCGCTTTTACACACACACACACACACACACACACACACACACACACACACACACACACTACCAGTGGACCGCCCTCCGCGTGGGTCGGCGGGGCGGCAGGGCGCTGCAGGGATATGCGATGCGTCTTGCCCTAGGCCTGAAGGGACCACCCATACACGCCCACCAGCACCACACTCACACACACGCACACACACACGCACACACACACGCCCAGGCCACGAACAACACCTAGGGCAGTACAAGTCCTAACTAAACACACCGCAGAGACCGTTCGCTCTTCGGACCGAACGCGCTACGCGCGCCCAGAGGTGGGTGCAGTGTATCCAGTATCCAGCCGGGAACGAACAGTGTGCAAGTGCAGAGTGGTCCGACTTTGGCGCCTAATTTTCGCAGCAGACCGATTCCGAGAGTCGTTTTCGTCGCTCTGTCTCCCTCGCACTCGTGGGGCGCTGCTACGGGTGCGAGAGAGACGGAGCGAGGAAACCCACTCTCGGAATCAGTCTGCTGGTCTTTGAGTAAACAATCACGTTCCCGTTGGCGTTTCTAGAGAGAGGCGCAGCCCGGCGCAGCCCCCTTGCAGAGCACACGCAAGGCAGCCCGTCCGTCTTCCTCGTCTAACTCTCACAAATAATAAATGAAGCCAAGGAGGCCTTCTCTCTCCCTCCCCCCTTCCCCCCGGGTGCGGCGTGTGTGCATAAGTACTCGGCAAGAGGACCCTCTACCGGGCTTGGGCAGGGCGCGGCCACCGGGCTGATGCCGAGAGTCGTTTCCGTCGCTCTGTCTCTCTGGGGGGGGGGGGGACGCCCCGTGAGTGCGAGAGAGACAGAGCGGCGAGAACGCCTCTCTGAATCGGGGTGTGGCGAGAACGCCGTGGCGGCGCACCGTCCCGCCGCGCAGGCGTGCCGCGGGGTTGCCTACCCCGGCCACCGCGGGCGCTCCGGGTCGGCGGTTCGAAACCGACGCCACCCGCATGCGTTCCCGGTTTCCCCGAACTCCGAACCTCGAAGACGAAACACCACTGCAAACATTTGGCCGCTCACTTTGGGCGCCTCGGCGTACGGCGTAGCGAGTGCCCCTTGCAGTGTGGCAGCGCAGCAGCGTACACGACGTGAGGGGAAACCGGT